TATAACATCATAGGATATATTCTAACACAACCCCGTAGCATATGAATGTTATAGTGGTGCACAACCCCGGAATGAGGAAGCCGGGGCCGAAGGAGGGGGGGAGAAGGGGGGGAGGGGGGTGCGGCAGCGGAAGCTGCAGGTGAGGGCGCAAGTCAGCCGAAGGTGCGAGGAGCGGCGACGGGAGAGGGCGCAGCAGAGGAGGCGAGGGCGGCGGAGACGGAAAGGCCAGAGCGGCAATGGGAGGGGCGGCGAAGGGAGACGGCGGCGGCAGCGGGAGGGCTGCGGCGGCGAAGGGGGAACGGCGGCGGCAGCGGGAGGGCTGCGGCGGCGAAGGGGGAACGGCGGCGGCAGCGGGAGGGCTGCGGCGGCGAAGGGGGAACGGCGGCGGCAGCGGGAGGGCTGCGGCGGCGAAGGGGGAACGGCGGCGGCAGCGGGAGGGCTGCGGCGGCGAAGGGGGAACGGCGGCGGCAGCGGGAGGGCTGCGGCGGCGAAGGGGGAACGGCGGCGGCAGCGGGAGGGCTGCGGCGGCGAAGGGGGAACGGCGGCGGCAGCGGGAGGGCTGCGGCGGCGAAGGGGGAACGGCGGCGGCAGCGGGAGGGCTGCGGCGGCGAAGGGGGAACGGCGGCGGCAGCGGGAGGGCTGCGGCGGCGAAGGGGGAACGGCGGCGGCAGCGGGAGGGCTGCGGCGGCGAAGGGGGAACGGCGGCGGCAGCGGGAGGGCTGCGGCGGCGAAGGGGGAACGGCGGCGGCAGCGGGAGGGCTGCGGCGGCGAAGGGGTAACGGCGGCGGCAGCGGGAGGGCTGCGGCGGCGAAGGGGGAACGGCGGCGGCAGCGGGAAGGCTGCGGCGGCGAAGGGGGAACGGCGGCGGCAGCGGGAGGGCTGCGGCGGCGAAGGGGGAACGGCGGCGGCAGCGGGAGGGCTGCGGCGGCGAAGGGGGAACGGCGGCGGCAGCGGGAGGGCTGCGGCGGCGAAGGGGGAACGGCGGCGGCAGCGGGAGGGCTGCGGCGGCGAAGGGGGAACGGCGGCGGCAGCGGGAGGGCTGCGGCGGCGAAGGGGGAACGGCGGCGGCAGCGGGAGGGCTGCGGCGGCGAAGGGGGAACGGCGGCGGCAGCGGGAGGGCTGCGGCGGCGAAGGGGGAACGGCGGCGGCAGCGGGAGGGCTGCGGCGGCGAAGGGGGAACGGCGGCGGCAGCGGGAGGGCTGCGGCGGCGAAGGGGGAACGGCGGCGGCAGCGGGAGGGCTGCTGCGGCGAAGGGGGACGGCGGCGGCAGCGGGAGGGCTGCTGCGGCGGAAGGGAAACGGCGGCGGCAGCGGGAGGGCTGCTGCGGCGGAAGGGAAACGGCGGCGGCAGCGGGAGGGCTGCTGCGGCGGAAGGGAAACGGCGGCGGCAGCGGGAGGGCTGCTGCGGCGGAAGGGAAACGGCGGCGGCAGCGGGAGGGCTGCTGCGGCGGAAGGGAAACGGCGGCGGCAGCGGGAGGGCTGCTGCGGCGGAAGGGAAACGGCGGCGGCAGCGGGAGGGCTGCTGCGGCGGAAGGGAAACGGCGGCGGCAGCGGGAGGGCTGCTGCGGCGGAAGGGAAACGGCGGCGGCAGCGGGAGGGCTGCTGCGGCGGAAGGGAAACGGCGGCGGCAGCAGGAGGGCTGCTGCGGCGGAAAGCGAAGGAGGAGGAAGCGAGGGGGAAGGGGGAGGTGGGCTGGATGGCCCGAAGGAGGAGGAAGCGAGGGGGAAGGGGGAGGTGGGCTGGATGGCCCGAAGGAGGAGGAAGCGAGGGGGAAGGGGGAGGTGGGCTGGATGGCCCGAAGGAGGAGGAAGCGAGGGGGAAGGGGGAGGAGGGCTGGATGGCCCGAAGGAGGAGGAAGCGAGGGGGAAGGGGGAGGGGGGCTGGATGGCCCGAAGGAGGAGGAAGCGAGGGGGAAGGGGGAGGTGGGCTGGATGGCCCGAAGGAGGAGGAAGCGAGGGGAAGGGGGAGGTGGGTTGGATGGCCCGAAGGAGGAGGAAGCGAGGGGGAAGGGGGAGGTGGGCTGGATGGCCCGAAGGAGGAGGAAGCGAGGGGGAAGGGGGAGGGGGGCTGGATGGCCCGAAGGAGGAGGAAGCGAGGGGGAAGGGGGAGGAGGGCTGGATGGCCCGAAGGAGGAGGAAGCGAGGGGGAAGGGGGAGGTGGGCTGGATGGCCCGAAGGAGGAGGAAGCGAGGGGGAAGGGGGAGGTGGGCTGGATGGCCCGAAGGAGGAGGAAGCGAGGGGGAAGGGGGAGGTGGGCTGGATGGCCCGAAGGAGGAGGAAGCGAGGGGGAAGGGGGAGGTGGGCTGGATGGCCCGAAGGAGGAGGAAGCGAGGGGGAAGGGGGAGGTGGGCTGGATGGCCCGAAGGAGGAGGAAGCGAGGGGGAAGGGGGAGGTGGGCTGGATGGCCCGAAGGAGGAGGAAGCGAGGGGGAAGGGGGAGGTGGGCTGGATGGCCCGAAGGAGGAGGAAGCGAGGGGGAAGGGGGAGGTGGGCTGGATGGCCCGAAGGAGGAGGAAGCGAGGGGGAAGGGGGAGGTGGGCTGGATGGCCCGAAGGAGGAGGAAGCGAGGGGGAAGGGGGAGGTGGGCTGGATGGCCCGAAGGAGGAGGAAGCGAGGGGGAAGGGGGAGGTGGGCTGGATGGCCCTTAGGGGGAGGAAGCGAGGGGGAAGGGGGAGGGGCTGGATGGCCCGAAGGAGGAAGCGAGGGGGGAATGGGGAGGTGGGCGGAATGGCCCTTAGGGGGAGGAAGCAAGGGGGAAGGGGGAGAAGGGCGGAATGGCCCTTAGGGGGAGGAAGCGAGGGGGAAGGGGGAGGTGGGCTGGATGGCCCGAAGGAGGAGGAAGCGAGGGGGAAGGGGGGAAGTGGGCTGGATGGCCCTTGGAAGGGGGGGGCGGAAGCGTGGTGACGATGCGAATGAATGCTGTCGGGAGCGGGATTGACGGGCGAAATGCCGTCGGGAGCGGGATTGACGGGCGAAATGCCGTCGGGAGCGGGATTGACGGGCGAAATGCCGTCGGGAGCGGGATTGACGGGCGAAATGCCGTCGGGAGCGGGATTGACGGGCGAAATGCCGTCGGGAGCGGGATTGACGGGCGAAATGCCGTCGGGAGCGGGATTGACGGGCGAAATGCCGTCGGGAGCGGGATTGACGGGCGAAATGCCGTCGGGAGCGGGATTGACGGGCGAAATGCCGTCGGGAGCGGGATTGACGGGCGAAATGCCGTCGGGAGCGGGATTGACGGGCGAAATGCCGTCGGGAGCGGGATTGACGGGCGAAATGCCGTCGGGAGCGGGATTGACGGGCGAAATGCCGTCGGGAGCGGGATTGACGGGCGAAATGCCGTCGGGAGCGGGATTGACGGGCGAAATGCCGTCGGGAGCGGGATTGACGGGCGAAATGCCGTCGGGAGCGGGATTGACGGGCGAAATGCCGTCGGGAGCGGGATTGACGAGCAAAACGCCTTCGGAAGCGGAATCGACGGGCGAAGTGGTAGGCGCGTTCGTCGCGCGGGTCGGCGCGTACAAGCGCCTCAAATGCCACGGGGAAAAGCCTGAGGGAGGAGAGCAGGCTGGTGGGGCAAAGACCATGAAGCCGGCAAGAGGCCGAGGATCTCCTAGGGAGGACGAAGGTGGCGTTAGCCAAAATAGCTCTATACCATGTGAGAATCCCATAGTTGGGATGAAGGGGTGAACTCAAGAGTTGATTGTATTAAGGAAACATTGGGCTTACATAGGAGAAGGAATAGTGAGGAAACTAGGAGATAAGCTCACAGAATTATTGGCTGGCCAACATTGTTGGCTGCCCAATAATGGTTGGGATGAGCCACCAATTATTGGCGGACCAATAATTGGTTGGCAAGGGCCACCAAAGTGGCCCCCAATAATTGTGGCATAAGGGGGGTTGGGGTGCCCCAAACCAAAGTGGTTGGGGCGCCTCGAACAAAGTGTACACCCAGAATTGGGTGTAACACTAGCACAACTATGACATCATAGGATATATTCTAACAGGACGACCAACAGCTATGGGTTGACCAACCACAATGGTTTGTGCTTGGAGACTTGATTGCATAGGATCGGCATTTCAGCACAAAGGCGTACCCAGCAATTCTTTCAAGCATCCCTCTCCCATCCCCATCCCCATCCCCATCCCCATCCCCATCTCCATCCCTCCCCCCTATCCCCATACCCATTGTCGGAGAATAACCTCATCCTTGCATCCTGCTCTTCTTCTTGTCCCTCCCTTGCCTTCCTTATCCTTATGTTGTCCTTATCCTTCTTCTTATCCTTATGAAAGAGTTTCCTCCCTCACCCCGTAGGTCCTCCCATAGTGGTGTGCGACCGGATGCTAGATCTGAGGTAACAGCTTTCCACTAATATGAGAGAATAACAGGAGAAAAGCAACGAGAGGGTGCGGGCTACTGAATTTACCTGTGACTGGCTCAGTCGCACACTTCTCAATGTGACTATTCCTTCTCCTATGTAAGCCCAATGTTTCCTTAATACAATCAACTCTTGAGTTCACCCCTTCATCCCAACTATGGGATTCTCACATGGTATAGAGCTATTTTGGCTAACGCCACCTTCGTCCTCCCTAGGAGATCCTCGGCCTCTTGCCGGCTTCATGGTCTTTGCCCCACCAGCCTGCTCTCCTCCCTCAGGCTTTTCCCCGTGGCATTTGAGGCGCTTGTACGCGCCGACCCGCGCGACGAACGCGCCTACCACTTCGCCCGTCGATTCCGCTTCCGAACAAGGTGCCCCCACCAAGGTGCCTCAAAAGTCGCTCACTCACTCACTCACTCACTCACTCACTCACTCCACTCCCTCACTCACCCACTACCACCACATTGTTCCGCACGTCCAGCAGCACCCATGAGATAGGGCGCTTTCTGGCTTTACCACCTTTCCCCCCCTCACTCACTCACTCACTCACTCACTCACTCACTCACTCACTCACTCACCCACTTCCTCACCCACATCCTCACCCACCCCGTCTCCCTCACTCACCCGCCACCACCACGTTGTTCCGCACATCTAGCAGAACCCATGAGATCGGGCCCTCTGGGGTCAGCCTTGACACTCGCCCACTGCAGGCGGGGAGGGATGGGGAGGATAGGGGAGAACGGGGGATAGGGGAGTTGGGAGCGGTAAGGAGGTGTATGGGGTGTAAAGGAGATGGGGGTGGTGGTTGTTCGAAGGAGAGATGGGGCCCTCTGAGGACAGCCGTGACACCTGCCCTCTGCAGGCGCAGTCAAGATGGGGAGGAGGGGAGGGGCGGGGGGTTAGAATGTAAAGGTGGTGGTTGTCTGAAGGAGAGGAGAGGAGGAGTTAGCCTCGATGCCCACCTCTGCACATGCACGGAGATAACAGCTTGGGTGCTCTGCCACGTGGTAGTGAGCAGCAGCGTGCGCCCATCCGCCTCGATGCCACACAGATTGCACATGCACACATACATACAGCACCCACACCCACGAGGCGACCCAAACCAGCTCACCTCTGCACGTGCACGGAGATGATCGCCTGAGTGCTTCTCCAAGCTGTAGTGAGCAGCAGTGTGCGTCCATCCGCCAGCCACCCCACCAGGCACACAAATTACACGCACACATGACCTCACCTCTCCACGTGCACGGAGATGATCGCTTGGGTGCTACGCCAAGCTGTGGTGAGCAGCAGCGTGCGCCCATCCGCCAGCCACTTCACCAGGCACACACATCACACGCACACATGTAGCACCCACAGCCACAAAGACAAGCCCGCCTCACCTCTCCACGTGCACGGAGACGATCGCCTGGGTGCTCCTCCATGCGGTAGTGAGCAGCAGCGTGCGTCCATCCGCCAGCAGGTTCAGGTTAGAAGCATACATGCATGCATCCATCGCACCTCTCCCCACAAACACACCTCTCCACATGCACAGAGACAATCGCCTGGGTGCTCCTCTACGCGTGTGAGCAGAAGAGTGCGCCCATCCACAGCAGGTACATACAGGTAACAAGCGTACATGCATGCATCTACAGGCAGACACCCCACCTCTCCACATGCACGGAGATGATCGCCTGGGTGCTCCGCCAAGCCGTGGTGAGCAGCAGCGTGCGCCCATCCGCCAGTCACTACCCACAAAGTTCACACTACACACACATAGAGCTACCACACCCATAACTACAAGCTGGCAGCCACCTCTCCCCGCCTCACCTCTCCACATGCACAGAGATGATCGCCTGGGTGCTGCGCCAAGCTGTGGTGAGCAGCAGCGTGCATCCATCCGCCAGCCACTACCCACACAGGTCACACTACACTACACACACACTGATTAGCTCACCTCTCCACGTGCACGGAGATAATGGCCTGAGTGCTTCTCCATGCCGTGGTGAGCAGCAGTGTGCGTCCATCCGCCAGCCACAGCATTGCATACATGTAAACCCTAAGTATACACACGTGCATGTGTACAGCCACCTCACCTCTCCACGTGCACGGAGATGATCGCCTGGGTGCTCCTCCAAGCTGTGGTGAGCAGCAGCGTGCGCCCATCCGCCAGCAACGGGTTGGCACATGCATACACACACAACCATACCCGCCTCTACAGGCAGCTCACCTCTCCCCGCCTCACCTCTCCCCGCCTCACCTCTCCCCGCCTCACCTCTCCACGTGCACGGAGATAATAGCCTGGGTGTTTCTCCAAGCAGTAATGAGCAGCAGCGTGCGCCCGTCCGCCAACGACGTGTTACCAGCACTACATACGTGCATGCATGCATCTACAGCCAGCCTCACCTCTCCACGTGCACGGAGATGATCGCCTGGGTGCTCCGCCAAGCAGTGGTGAGCAGCAGCGTGCGCCCGTCAGCCAGCCACGGGTTAGCGATGGCTCCTGCAGCGTACAGGCCAGGAAAGCCGCCCTGCTCCTCCGCCCTCGCCACCACACTGATCTGCAGACAGGAACACGGGAGCAACATGCATAGGTTACAGCGGATGCAAGGGGAATGACAACACCCTATCCGCCAGGCCAGGGAAGCCGCCCTGCTCCTCCGCCCTCGCCACCACACTGATCTGCAGACAGGAACACGGGAGCAACATGCATAGGTTACAGCGGATGCAAGGGGGAATGACAACACCCTATCCGCCAGGCCAGGGAAGCCGCCCTGCTCCTCCGCCCTCGCCACCACACTGATCTGCAGACAGGAACACGGGAGCAACATGCATAGGTTACAGCGGATGCAAGGGGGAATGACAACACCCTATCCGCCAGGCCAGGGAAGCCGCCCTGCTCCTCCGCCCTCGCCACCACACTGATCTGCAGACAGGAACACGGGAGCAACATGCATAGGTTACAGCGGATGCAAGGGGGAATGACAACACCCTATCCGCCAGTCCAGGGAAGCCGCCCTGCTCCTCCGCCCTCGCCACCACACTGATCTGCAGACAGGAACACGGGAGCAACATGCATAGGTTACAGCGGATGCAAGGGGGAATGACAACACCCTATCCGCCAGGCCAGGGAAGCCGCCCTGCTCCTCCGCCCTCGCCACCACACTGATCTGCAGACAGGAACACGGGAGCAACATGCATAGGTTACAGCGGATGCAAGGGGAATGACAACACCCTATCCGCCAGGCCAGGGAAGCCGCCCTGCTCCTCCGCCCTCGCCACCACACTGATCTGCAGACAGGAACACGGGAGCAACATGCATAGGTTACAGCGGATGCAAGGGGGAATGACAACACCCTATCCGCCAGGCCAGGGAAGCCGCCCTGCTCCTCCGCCCTCGCCACCACACTGATCTGCAGACAGGAACACGGGAGCAACATGCATAGGTTACAGCGGATGCAAGGGGGAATGACAACACCCTATCCGCCAGGCCAGGGAAGCCGCCCTGCTCCTCGGCCCTCGCCACCACACTGATCTGCAGACAGGAACACGGGAGCAACATGCATAGGTTACAGCGGATGCAAGGGGGAATGACAACACCCTATCCGCCAGGCCAGGGAAGCCGCCCTGCTCTCCGCCCTCGCCACCACACTGATCTGCAGACAGGAACACGGGAGCAACATGCATAGGTTACAGCGGATGCAAGGGGGAATGACAACACCCTATCCGCCAGGCCAGGGAAGCCGCCCTGCTCCTCCGCCCTCGCCACCACACTGGTCTGCAGACAGGAACACGGGAGCAACATGCATAGGTTACAGCGGATGCAAGGGGGAATGACAACACCCTATCCGCCAGGCCAGGGAAGCCGCCCTGCTCCTCCGCCCTCGCCACCACACTGATCTGCAGACAGGAACACGGGAAAATGGGTGCAACCGGGAGCAGAAGGGCATGGGGAAAGCAAAGCAGTGAGCAGCATGACAGGGCAACTGACCATCCAGCAGCCATGGGTTGGCAATGGCTCCGGCAGCGTACAGCCCTGGGAAGCCGCCCGCCCTGCTCCTCGTTGGGTCAGAGCACGGAGTGCAGCGAGTTGGCAGCACCTCACCATACCAAACAGCACTCTCACAGCGGAATGAACAGCTTGACAGGGGACACTCACTATGCTGTTGATGGGGATGTCTATAGCGGGGACATCAGAAGGCCCAGAACGAGAGTCCTCCTCAGGGTCGGCAGGCGGGGCGTGGGGGAAGGAGATGCCCTCCTTGGGGCCAGAGCAGCGAGTGCAGCGAGTTGGCCTTTTGAGGCGCCTCGAAAGTCAGGGAGGTGCATGCAGGAAGGAGAGGCCGTCCTTGGGCCAGAGCAGCAAGGAGTGCAGCGAGTTGGCAACACCTCACCATAGCAACCAAGCAGCAGCCAGAAAGGGAATACTCACTATGCTGTTAATGGGGATGTCTATAGCGGGGACGTCAGAAGGCCCGGAGCGAGAGTCCTCCTCAGGGTCGGCAGGAGGGGCGTGGGGGAAGGAGATGCCCTCCTTGGGCCAGAGCAGCGAGTGCAGCGAGTTGGAAACACCTCAGCACCTGAAAGGGGGCCATACCAACCAGCAGCCTGACAGTGGACACTCACTATGCTGTTGATGGGGATGTCTATAGCGGGGACGTCGGATGGCCCAGTACGAGTATCCTCCTCAGGGTCGGCAGGAGGGGCGTGGGGGAAGGAGATGCCCTCCTTGGGCCACAGCAGCGAGTGCAGCGAGTTGGTGGCGCCGTGCGTGCCGCTGTCCACTGCTGCGTGCGAAGAGAGGAAGACCAGCAGAGAGCCGTCAGGGCTGATGGGAGGGGAGACAAGAGCAGATTGGGAAGGATAAGAGCCATTGAGACATCACATCACGGGAACCAGCAGGAGATGCCCTCCTTGGGCCAGAGCAGCGAGTGCAGCGAGTTGGTGGCGCCGTGCGTGCCGCTGTCCACTGCTGCGTGCGAGGAGAGGAACACCAGCAGAGAGCCGTCAGGGCTGAAAAGGCGGGAGGGGGGGGAGAGACAGGAGCATATAGCTAGGTGTGGACGGGTGGAGTGGAAAACACAGGGTTGGTGGCGCCGTGCGTGCCGCTGTCTACCGCTGCGTGCGAGGAGAGGAACACCAGTAGAGAGCCGTCAGGGCTGAAAGAGGAGAACAGAGGGAGGAGATGGGGGCAGAGAGCGGTGGATTTGGGGGGAAAGGAGAGGAAGACAGGGTTGGTGGCGCCATGAATGCCCGCTGATCACTGCTGCGTGTGCTGAGAGAAGTACCAGCAGAGAGCCGTCAGGGCTGAACGGGAAACTGGGGCACGCAGGGAGCAGATTGTATTTCAGGGGATGGACGGGCGGTAGATAGGGTTGGTTGTGGCTGTGCACTGCTGCGTGTGATGAGAGGACATTGGCAGGCTGCGGCAGTTGTAATTGTGGCTGAAGGGGTGAGGGTGAGGGACGAGGAAGGAAGTGGGAAGTTGGCAAGGGGTGGGCGGACAGAAAGGAAAGAACTCCGTGTTTGAAGAACTCCGTGTTTGAAGAACTCCGTGTTTGAAGAACTCCGTGTTTGAAGAACTCCGTGTTTGAAGAACTCCGTGTTTGAAGAACTCCGTGTTTGAAGAACTCCGTGTTTGAAGAACTCCGTGTTTGAAGAACTCCGTGTTTGAAGAACTCCGTGTTTGAAGAACTCCGTGTTTGAAGAACTCCGTGTTTGAAGAACTCCGTGTTTGAAGAACTCCGTGTTTGAAGAACTCCGTGTTTGAAGAACTCCGTGTTTGAAGAACTCCGTGTTTGAAGAACTGCGTGTTTGAAGAACTGCGTGTTTGAAGAACTGCGTGTTTGAAGAACTGCGTGTTTGAAGAACTGCGTGTTTGAAGAACTGCGTGTTTGAAGAACTGCGTGTTTGAAGAACTGCGTGTTTGAAGAACTGCGTGTTTGAAGAACTGCGTGTTTGAAGAACTGCGTGTTTGAAGAACTGCGTGTTTGAAGAACTGCGTGTTTGAAGAACTGCGTGTTTGAAGAACTGCGTGTTTGAAGAACTGCGTGTTTGAAGAACTCCGTGTTTGAAGAACTCCGTGTTTGAAGAACTCCGTGTTTGAAGAACTCCGTGTTTGAAGAACTCCGTGTTTGAAGAACTCCGTGTTTGAAGAACTCCGTGTTTGAAGAACTCCGTGTTTGAAGAACTCCGTGTTTGAAGAACTGCGTGTTTGAAGAACTGCGTGTTTGAAGAACTGCGTGTTTGAAGAACTGCGTGTTTGAAGAACTGCGTGTTTGAAGAACTGCGTGTTTGAAGAACTGCGTGTTTGAAGAACTGCGTGTTTGAAGAACTGCGTGTTTGAAGAACTGCGTGTTTGAAGAACTGCGTGTTTGAAGAACTGCGTGTTTGAAGAACTCCGTGTTTGAAGAACTCCGTGTTTGAAGAACTCCGTGTTTGAAGAACTCCGTGTTTGAAGAACTCCGTGTTTGAAGAACTGCGTGTTTGAAGAACTGCGTGTTTGAAGAACTGCGTGTTTGAAGAACTGCGTGTTTGAAGAACTGCGTGTTTGAAGAACTGCGTGTTTGAAGAACTGCGTGTTTGAAGAACTCCGTGTTTGAAGAACTCCGTGTTTGAAGAACTCCGTGTTTGAAGAACTCCGTGTTTGAAGAACTCCGTGTTTGAAGAACTCCGTGTTTGAAGAACTCCGTGTTTGAAGAACTCCGTGTTTGAAGAACTCCGTGTTTGAAGAACTCCGTGTTTGAAGAACTCCGTGTTTGAAGAACTCCGTGTTTGAAGAACTCCGTGTTTGAAGAACTCCGTGTTTGAAGAACTCCGTGTTTGAAGAACTCCGTGTTTGAAGAACTCCGTGTTTGAAGAACTCCGTGTTTGAAGAACTCCGTGTTTGAAGAACTCCGTGTTTGAAGAACTCCGTGTTTGAAGAACTCCGTGTTTGAAGAACTCCGTGTTTGAAGAACTCCGTGTTTGAAGAACTCCGTGTTTGAAGAACTCCGTGTTTGAAGAACTCCGTGTTTGAAGAACTCCGTGTTTGAAGAACTCCGTGTTTGAAGAACTCCGTGTTTGAAGAACTCCGTGTTTGAAGAACTCCGTGTTTGAAGAACTCCGTGTTTGAAGAACTCCGTGTTTGAAGAACTGCGTGTTTGAAGAACTGCGTGTTTGAAGAACTCCGTGTTTGAAGAACTCCGTGTTTGAAGAACTCCGTGTTTGAAGAACTCCGTGTTTGAAGAACTCCGTGTTTGAAGAACTCCGTGTTTGAAGAACTCCGTGTTTGAAGAACTCCGTGTTTGAAGAACTCCGTGTTTGAAGAACTCCGTGTTTGAAGAACTCCGTGTTTGAAGAACTCCGTGTTTGAAGAACTCCGTGTTTGAAGAACTCCGTGTTTGAAGAACTCCGTGTTTGAAGAACTCCGTGTTTGAAGAACTCCGTGTTTGAAGAACTCCGTGTTTGAAGAACTCCGTGTTTGAAGAACTCCGTGTTTGAAGAACTCCGTGTTTGAAGAACTCCGTGTTTGAAGAACTCCGTGTTTGAAGAACTCCGTGTTTGAAGAACTCCGTGTTTGAAGAACTCCGTGTTTGAAGAACTCCGTGTTTGAAGAACTCCGTGTTTGAAGAACTCCGTGTTTGAAGAACTCCGTGTTTGAAGAACTCCGTGTTTGAAGAACTGCGTGTTTGAAGAACTGCGTGTTTGAAGAACTGCGTGTTTGAAGAACTGCGTGTTTGAAGAACTGCGTGTTTGAAGAACTGCGTGTTTGGAGAACTGCGTGTTTGGAGAACTCCGTGTTTGAAGAACTGCGTGTTTGAAGAACTGCGTGTTTGAAGAACTGCGTGTTTGAAGAACTCCGTGTTTGAAGAACTCCGTGTTTGAAGAACTGCGTGTTTGAAGAACTGCGTGTTTGAAGAACTCCGTGTTTGAAGAACTCCGTGTTTGAAGAACTCCGTGTTTGAAGAACTCCGTGTTTGAAGAACTCCGTGTTTGAAGAACTCCGTGTTTGAAGAACTCCGTGTTTGAAGAACTCCGTGTTTGAAGAAGTGTTTTGCCCTTGAGACGTCTCAAAGTCTCAAAACACTTCTTTAAACAAAGGGGTGGGCGGACAGAAAGGAAAGAACTGCTGGTTTCGAGTGCTGCTGCTGCTGCTGCTGCTGCTGTGTGTTGATGGTAAATAAAACCCGCATGCATCATCTAAAAGGGGGAGAAGAAGAGGCTATACACAGTAAAGAGCTGAGAAGGGGCTATTGCTGCTGTAGGCACTGGAAAAAACAATCGGCAGTGAAACAAGATGTCTTCAAACGAAGAATTCTATGAAAGGGTACCTGAAGCGGGGTGAGAAGGCGCTGCTGATGCCAGCAGTGAGCTTCACAATGCTGCTGCCGCTGCCTGACTTCTTCCTGTAAGAACAGGGACAGACAGCAGGGGAAGAGGGGCAGGCAAGTGGCAGGCAAGAGGGGAGGAGGCAGGCAAGTGGGCAGTCGATGCAAGCAAGCAACTCATAATGCTGAGGTCTGATGCCAGCAGTGAGCTTCACAATGCTGCTGCCACTTCCTGACTTCTTCCTGTAAGGACAGGTAGAGACAGCAGGGGAAGACGGGAGGAGGTAAGCAAGTGGGCACTCAATGCAAGCAAGCAACTCATAAAGCTGTGACTGCTGATGCCAGCAGTGAGCTTCACAATGCTGCTGCCGCTGCCTGGCTTCTTCCCTATGTTGCGCCTGACACCCAGGAAGGGCAGCGTCCAGCGTCCGAACGCTCACGTCCGGACGCTGGACGCGTCAAATCGGTTTGACGCAGGACGATCGGGAAAATTTTTCCGGGCAGCCCGAAAAAAATCCCGCACGCAATTGACGCGCGATTTCATCGCGACCAGAATTGCGATGAAATTGGCAAGCGGTCGTTGCGTTTTTGACCCACAAAAACGCAACCAACATTTATTCCCCCCCACACATTTGTACCCATCCATATCTACTTCTCCCAATTAGGTCGATCCCCAACTATACTAGAGAACCAGATCTAGGTCGACATTACACAGGTCTGTTTCTCTCAACATTGCCAAGCTTACCTAACACTAGAATCCGCCAGTCACACTACTCAGCCTTCCTAGCTAGTTAAAGCGATCAAGTTTTCATGTAAACTCCTAGTCCCGCCGGATTTAGGATTTTCAGGAGTGTTTATATCTTTTGGTGAAATTTGTGAACTTGTTGCATTCTAACCCCTGTGTATCCTTACTAAGCAGGTATTTTAAACCCCTGCCCGGGAAAAGTTTTGCCCTGCCCGGACTAGCGTCAAGCGGGCGTCCAGGGCAGAGGAACCCGGGCGTCAAGCGTCTGGACGCCCCGTCCAGACGCCAGCGTAAAAAACGCCTGACGCGTCAGGCGCAACATAGCTTCTTCCTGTAACGACAGGCAATGACAGAAGGCCAAACAGGAAGAGACAGGTGGGCGTGGGCCCTCGACACAAGCAACTTATAGTTCCGCGACTGCTGATGGCAGCAGAAAACAGGTGGCAGGGGCGGTTGGCGCAGTAGACAATGCCCAGGTAGCGAGCTGTGTTGAAATTGGAAGCGAAGGAAAAGCACGGGCAGTGCATATGACCCAACCCAATCCAATCCAACCCAACCCAACCCATACAGAACAGACGCATTTACTCACCCAGCAGAGTCTTGGGAGGGCGCTCGAGCAGCAAAGAGGTGGCAGGGGCGATTGGCACAATAGATGATGCCAAGGCGGCGAGCTGTGTTGAAGTTGGAGGGGAAGGGCAGGAGAGGAGTGGTGAATGTGACACCCAACCCATACGGAACAGGCAACTTCACTCACCCAGCAGGGTCTTGAGAGGGCGCTTGGGCAGCAAACAGGTGGCAGGGGCGGTTGGCGCAGTAGACAATGCCAAGGCGGCGAGCCGTGTTGAAGTTGGAAGGGAAGGCGGACCAGCCAACAAAGAGCAGCGTGTGCTGCTGCCCCTCCACTGCCGGCGCCCACACCACCTGCCCCGCACTGATGTCCCCCGGGATACCCTCTACCGCCTGCACTGTGCCACTGGGAGAGAGGGCGATTCAGGGAAGTGCAGAACGGTACAGAGGGGTGACAGCAGGTGAGAACAAACGCCAGCCGACGAAGAGCGCGTGTGCTGCTGCCCCTCCACTGCCGGCGCCCACACCACCTGCCCCGCACTGATGTCCCCTGGGATTCCCTCTACCGCCTGCACTGTGCCACTGGAAGGGGAGAGTCAGAGGGTAGTACAGAGCGGTGCAGAGGGGTACAGGGCGGTGACAGCAGATGAGAGCGTGTGCTGCTGCCCCTCCACTGCCGGCGCCCACACCACCTGCCCTGCACTGATGTCCCCTGGAATGCCTTCTACTGCCTGCACTGTGCCACTGGCATGGGGGAGAGAGCGGTACAGAGCGGTACAGGGCAGTTCAGAGTGGTACAGAGCGGTAACAGCAGGTTAGAGACACTGAAAGGGAAGGCGGACCAGCCGACGAAGAGCAGCGTGTGCTGCTGCCCCTCCACTGCCGGCGCCCACACCACCTGCCCCGCACTGATGTCCCCTGGAATGCCTTCTACCGCCTGAACTGTGCCACTGAGGAGAGAGAGACGGAGCAGTACACAGGGGTGGGAGCAGGTGAGAGCAGGTGAGAGCGTGTGCTGCTGCCCCTCCACTGCCGGCGCCCACACCACCTGCCCTGCACTGATGTCCCCTGGAATGCCCTCCACTGCCTGCACTGTGCCACTGGGAGAGAGAGAGAGAGCGGTACAGAGTGGTGCAGAGAGGTACAGAGAGGTGACAGCAGGTGAGACACGAAGAGCAGCGTGTGCTGCCCCTCCACTGCCGGCCCCCACACCACCTGCCCCGCACTGATGTCCCCTGGGATGCCTTCTACCGCCTGCACTGTGCCACTGGGAGAGGAAAACGGGGTGGTACAGAGAGGTACAGAGCAGTTCAGAGCGGTGAGAGTTGAGCGCCCACACCACCTGCCCCCCACTGATGTCCCCTGGGATGCCCTCCACTACCTGGACCGTGCCACTGGCAGGGAGAGAGCGGTACAAAGCGGTACAGAGCGGTACAGAGCGGTGCGAGAAGGTGAGAAGGAAGGCAGAAGCGTGGCGTTTGGAAGCGGAAGGCGAGGATGGGAGGGAGAGCTGCGGGTAGGGTGGGAAGGGGAAGTGGGAAGGAGAAGAGATACGAGATAGCACATGAAGACTGCTAGCGCATATGCCTCCACATCTAAACCCCCACCACCTCTGTTCCACGAACTCCTATGCCATGCACCTGACAGCTCATTTTGAGATACGCACCTAGAAGAGGCGCGCAAATGATAAGACCCCTTAATTCACTTGACAGTGTTGAGTACAAACAACAGCGGTCGCTGCTTGCCCGCGTATCTCTTCCCTCAGTCCTCCATCCGTTCCCCTTGCCCTTGAGACGTCTGATTAACAACACTGGCACTGCATATTCCACTACAACCCCTTAACGCACCTGACAGTATTGAGTACAAACAGCAGCGGCCGCTGCTTCCCCGCATATCTCTCCCCCCAGTCCTCCATCCACTCCCCCTTGCCCTTCCACGTCCCTGCCTCCGCTGCCCCGTTCTTCCCCTTCCCTGCACCTCCCGCCGGAGCTGGCGCCGCTGCAGCTGCGGCTCCGAACCTGCCCCGAGCCGGGCCAGCAGGTGCGGCAGGCGGGTGCTGGGCGGCTGACGTGGCAGCGGGCTGCCGCGGTTGGCCGAAGACAGGCTTGGTTGGGGCAGGCTCTTCTGCCACGTAGGCAACACAGGTTTCATCCTCATTCCATGACACACCCTCGAACCTGAGAGAAGGGAGATTGAAAGTAGCGGTGGCGGGAGGAGGGGGAGCAGAGAAATGGTGGTTAGGAAGGAGCAGTGAAGGCAGGCTCTTCTGCCGCGTAGGCAACACAGGTTTCATCCTCGTTCCATGACACACCCTCAAACCTGAGAGAGGGGAAAGCGTGGAAAGGAGCAGCAGCGGAGGGAGGACGGGGAGCACATGCAATCGGTGGTCGAGTTAAGTCAATGCAACAAAGCAGACGGGAGGGAGGCGCAGGAGTGAGGGGGAAGGAGGGGGGGAGTTAAAGGGAAGAGAGAGGGGTCAAAGAAGAGAGAGGAGGGGGTGCTGGAGAGGGAGGTGGGGACTCAAAACACCCATAAGCCAAGCAGCATGCGCATTGTCCGCGTTAAAGAGCCCACGAATGGACGCACATCTATGCAAACGGAACAAACCAGCACATCCATCCATGGATGATAACTATCCACCATCCACAACAGGAGACAATAACTAAACAAGCTGCTGCCACGCAAAGTCGACTTTTGAGGCGCCTAAAAAAACGGAACAAACCAGCACATCCATCCATGGATGGTAACTATCACCCATCCACAACAGAAGAAAAAAACTAAACAAGTTGCTGCCACGCAAAGTCATGTGTCCTAAGTGGGATTTCCTTGCAACCAACCACCATCCACTCACCAGCCATCAGCGTACACCCCCCCATGAACAGTAGCTGGCACATGCACCTCCCTCAGCAACCTTCCCGCGCCCCACACCTCCAGCTTCACCGCTCCAGCCTCCTTCCCCCCCGCGCCCGCCTCCCCATTCCGCACCACCAGCAGCCTTCCCCCCGAGGGGGAGGGTGCGATGAGGGTGACGCCAGTGAGTTCGGTGGGGAATGGGGACCAGTGGAAGGAGGAGAGGTCGCATTCATCATACACTGAAATCCACACATCTACCATCAGTCAACACACTCACCATCCATCGGCGTACACCCCCCCATGAACAGTAGCCGGCACATGCACCTCCCTCAGCAACCTTCCCGCGCCCCACACCTCCAGCTTCACCGCTCCGGCCTCCTTCCCCCCCTCTCCCCCTCCCCCTCCTCCGCTTCCCACCTTACCTCAAGCTTGACCGCCTATTTCAGCAAACAAGCACTGGTTCAAATATTTTCAGTACCCACTGACCATCCACGACCATCAGCCAAGTTCCACTCACCATCCATCGGCGTACACCCCCCCATGAACAGTGGCCGGCACATGCACCTCCCTCAGCAACCTTCCCGCGCCCCACACCTCCAGCTTCACCGCTCCAGCCTCCTTCCCCCCCTCGCCCGCCTCCCCATTCCGCACCACCAGCAATCTCCCCCCCGAGGGGGAGGGGGCGATGAGGGTCACGCCAGTGAGCTCGGTGGGGAAGGGGGACCAGTGGAAGGACGAGAGGTCGCCTTGCGGGTCGGGCACGTGCACTGTGGAGAGGTACTTGCGCATGGCGTTGGCTGGCAGGTTCTTCTGACTCATCTGCACCGTCACGTCTAGACTCGCCTTGCCTGTGGGGAGGGAGCCAGAGAGAAACCGTGTGCGTGTGTGTGGGATTGGGTTGCAAGGGTGCACTAATGCTGTGTATTGATGCTGCAGTAGTGATGTCACGATCTGACTGCTGCTCGCTCAGTCTACACGACTGAAGGTGTGAGGAGCACTAAGCACAGGATGAACGTGCGGAGGAGGGAGAGAAAAATGACGACGCGAGATATATGAGTTTTGAGGCGTCTCAAAATCCAAGAGGGAGAAGGAAATCACGAGGCAAGGGAAATGAAAAGGCGCACGAGAGAGGGTGGGGGAGAGAGAGAGGGAGAAGGAGAGGGAGAGGGAGAGGGGGAGGGGAGGGAGAGAGGGGGAGGGAGGAAGCTACGCACCTGGAGCACCCTTGCCCTTGGGTCCTGCTGTTTGGCCTGCAGTGCCGCATGTGTTGAATCCATGTGGTCATGCGGGAAAGCGAGATGTGGGGTTGGGCGGGAGAGCGAGGGGAGGGAGGGTGGGGAGGAGGGAGGCACAGATGCAAGACAGGAAGGGTGAGGGGAAAGAGAGTGACCTACTTCAACCAATCTCAACCAATCTCAATCCATCTTAGCTCGGAACCAAGGGGCGAGACTTGTCAATGCTGGTGATAAGCGAGAACGACTTGAGCAGCTCCTTCTCCTCCCCCAACCCAACCCTCTTGCTCCCAGTCCCCTTTCTCAACCCATATGGAACCATCTCAACCCATAGCAACCCATGTCAACCAATCTGCACCCACCGACGGGCGAGACTCGGCACCACGCCTTGTCAATGCTGGCGATGAGCGAGAACGACTCGAGCAGCTCCTCCTCCTCCACCACCACCTCCTCCTCCTCCTATGGCATCCCACCGTTTCCCAACCGCCCTTCTCAATCCATTTCAGCCCACCTCAACCCATGTAAAGTTCAAACACCCACCGACGGGCGAAACTCGGCACCAGGCCTTGTCGATGCTGACGATGAGCGAGAACGACTCCAGCAGCTCCTCCTCCTCCACCTCCTAACCCAACCCTCTTGCTCCCAGTCCCCTTTCTCAACCCATAGCAACCCATGTCAACCCATCTGCACCCACCGACGGGAGACACTCGACACCAGGCCTTGTCGATGCTGACGATGAGAGAGAACGACTCGAGCAGCTCCTCCTCCTCCACCTCATAACCCACCCTTGCCCCCAACCCCTTTTTACACATCTCAACCCATCTCAGCCCATCTCCACCCACCGACAGGCGAGACTCGGCACCAGGCCTTGTCAATGCTGGCGATGAGCGAGAATGACTCGAGCAGCTCCTCCTCCTAGCCCACCCTCTTGCTCCCAACCCCTCTCCTCAACCCATCTCAACCTATGTCAACCTATATCAACCCATGGAACTCAAAAGGACCCACCGACGAGTGAGACTCGGCACCAGGCCTTGCCAATGCTGGTGATGAGCGAGAATGACTCCAGCAGCTCCTCCTCCTCCTAACCCACTCACTTGCTCCCAACCCTTTTGATCTACCCATATCCACCCATCTCAACCCGTTCAAAGTAGCACCCACCGACGAGTGAGACTTGGCACCAGGCGACTTGTCAATGCTGGCGATGAGCGAGAACGACTCCAGCAGCTCCTCCTCCCCCCCAACCCAACCCTCTTGCTCCCATCCCTCATTCTCAACCCATAGGGAACCATCTCAACCCATCTGCACCCACCGACGGGCGACACTCGGCACCAGGCCTTGTCAATGCTGGCGATGAGCGAGAACGACTCGAGCAGCTCCTCCTCCTCCACCGTCGCCGCGCGGTCGATCAGACCGCCGCCCTCCGCGCCTGTCGCCATGGCTCGTGCGACCGTTGACGACGATCCGGGTCGTGAGCTGAGCCGGGTCGGCGCGGATACGACAGGCACGCCGCAGCTGAAAGAGCCAAAGAGGGAAAACAAGGATCATGTTCTCGTTCCAGCGCGACAACGGCCAAGAACGGTTAAGAAATCGAGTAAACGGCTAGGAACGACGATTCAGCAATTTGTAACGGAGATCAGACCAGAGTTCTGATGAGTGACCAGATGGCTAGAGCTCTGACGGGCGGTCAGATGGATTCCAGAGCTCTGACGAGTGGTCAGAAGGATTCCAGAGCTCTGACGAGCGGTCAGAAGGATTCCAGAGCTCTGACGAGCGGTCAGACGGATTCCAGAGCTCTGTTGTGGAGACTGTGTGCATGCCTCCAGACCAGAATTTGATCTTAGACCGGCGGCGCAGTGATGGATTAGGTAGGAAATGATGTCGTTCGGAGCTCAACCCATCAGCTTACTACACAACCGATGAAAACTCCTCTAAACGCATTTTCCAGTATAACATTAAACAAAGCAAACTGCCGAAGTTTCGACCTCGGGGATGCCTGGAATTTGACAACCTTCGAAATAATCACCTTCCAGAGATTCACTATCCAACGGTAACCGGCCTCGCGTTCTGAAATAACCATCGATAAAGTGATAGTAACCACTGGAGGATCTGTCATGTTCGCACGCTTGCACTGGGAGATCCTGTTGCAAGGATGCGAGCATTTGTTCACCCTAGTTTTCGCAGAGGTGACGGCCTGCGAAAATTCGCTGTTTTTGCACCGTTGCATCTGGATACAGTCGAAAATTCTGAAATCGCATTCGAATGTTCTCATTCCAAATCTAATGCACCGCTTGAGCCTTTGCAGCAGGAAATAGTGACCAAACGAACGTGAGCGCCAACAGTGCGGAGGGATAATCTAACAGTGTCGGGCCGTTACAATGCCCATTGACGGGATAAGATCATCAGCGAGTAAATAAGCAGCCTGAATACCAGTACTGGACATGCACCGTCAGGAATTGAGAGAAAAAAAGACTTAAGACTATCACGCACTCCCGGGACCCTAGGTTAGCTTACTAATACTGGGTATGCGGTGAATCAACGGCTGGAAGGGCGAAACGATCCAATGTTCACTCACATACGAAACGATCTGGCTGAGAGCAAACGGTGACAGCCAAATCCTGTCTCTCGCCGCGCAACGGTCAAACTCCCAGAGCGATTACGCAAAAGCGCTACGCGTCTACTATCGACTCCAGTTCTCAAAGCAGATCGCAAGCGATCTGTGGGGAGGGTACGTGAAACCACGCGCAAACGAGCAGAAACCGCAACGTGCATAAGTGCCGCTTCGTCTGATCAAGAGCGAAGGCGGAACACCGAAGAAAGCTTCAGCGACCCCCCGGAAATCAAGGCTTTGAAAATAGAACCTGAATTTAGTTGGCGCAAGCCGTTGGATCTAGCTGCTGGGGTGATGATGCTCTAGAATCTAGATCCAATAAATGGCCAGGATTTGCTGAGGAGGGTGGAGGTGGTAGAGGTCCTCGGGATTGACGAAGTGATCAAATCGAGAATAGAAAGCCAGCATGGCTTGTACCCGCTTGAAAGACCTTCGTCTTACGCTACCGTCTGAACACAGCTCTGAAAGCTTGTGTGATAGTAAAATATACAAGACTTCAAGCATCGCAGGAGTCGGTGTTCGCGAACTGCGAACGAGGACGATTGCGATGAGTTACACAGATATCCAACATATCTGCCGCGTCGCTCCATATCTGGCGTTTCGGACCAGTGCTGTCCAGCTGACACAGGTTCTTCCTGACAACCTGTCAGATTGACCAATCCTAGAACACCACTTTCCTTGGTCGGGGGGGCAGATTCGACACGTCAGTCGAAATGTAGGTCCCTATGTACGAAATCTTTCGACCAACTTCATTGATACTCAAATTATGCCAGGAGCGTTTTGCGAGCGTACTCAACCAAACAAATTCTCGGTAGAGTATTTACGTATACTGTAACTTCATATTATCAGCACAATTCTCAATCAAAGGCACCACCAGCTACTTTCCCGCACGTACCCCTGAAAACAAAACAAGAAAGAAAACTAAAACCCTTATATAATCGACCAGACGTTAGGAATGCGCTCATTGCTTAAGGTTGATCCTTTAACATGTTGCCTCCGGTTTCTTAACGAGTTTTATTAATTTGACGAACGGCTTGTTGCGAAGCTGGCCGACGTGGGGGTCGCGAGGCAGATGCCGGGGAGGGGGGGCTCGGACCAGGGCTTTAATGTTACGCACGCGCACACGTCCATGCCGATCGGGACCGTTGCTTATGTCGACCCGGAGTATCAGCGGACGGGTGATTTCAGCCCGAAATCGGATGTGTATGCCCTTGGGATTATCCTGTTTGACTTGCTGACCGGGCGGCAACCGGCGCGGTATGAGAAAATAGAGGATGATGTGGATGAAGGGAATGAGGAGGCATTAGAAAAGTTGCTGGATAGCAAGGCAGGGAAGTGGCCTGTCGGGCTGGCTATGGAGGTGGCAAGGATTGCTGTGCGATGCAGTGAGATGAAGAGGAAAAAGAGGCCTGATCTTGGGGAAGTGGTGATGCCGGTGCTGATGAGAGCACAAAAGGAGGCCGTGATTATGATGGAGAGGATGATGGCTGGAATGTGATGGAAGCGTTGGATTGGATGGATGTGGAGAAGAACGACTGTGACAGGGTCGACGGAGGCTTGACGGCGTCGTCGACACCATTCCGTTGAGTTATTCCCAGTTTGCATCATTTTTCCTAATCAGTTTATTATGATCTTTACAGAATTTGCGCTGGATACAAATTTCCTCTGTAAAGGGTTGAGTATTCCATATTGTTTTTGGTATATTCTTGGTAGCACCTCAACACAATTATTCATATTGAAGTTTGGTAACTACGTTCTGTTTCTTTCACATTGCGGAAGTGTTTTTAGTGTGTAAAATTTGATTGAAAAGCGATAATCAATCAGCGATGAGAAATCGAGGTTGAGTACCGTCGCAAAATGTCTCTGGCATAATTTGAGTATCAATGAAGTTGGCCGGAAATCTTTGTAACCAGCCACATACTTCGTCCAATCACAAACCATTCCAGCATGCCTGAAAAACCTGGTTTCTCATAGCCGTCGTGATTGTGTCGGTGGCCCCGTCCATGCCAGGTCATCAGGTGTGCCAGAGATTTCGCCAGGGAAAATGGCACTGCGCTGCCGTCAAGATTGCCACCAAGTTTTTCCCGCGTCACGCCGCACATTCCCAAGACATTGCCACTTCGCGTGGCTTTCAACAGGCCATCAAATATTCACCGCACCAAACCTCGGGATTACCACCACAAGCTCCCCCGTACTCGATGTTTCCCCTTCCAAGCCTCCCTAGCCAGCCACCAATCTGTGGCTCCCTACCAGGCCTCTCATATCCCTCCCTTCGTCCCTCTGTGTCCTGACCCTCATTCGTCCCTTTCCCTTCTTCTCCCTTCAAGCCGCATGATTATTCGAGTATTTGAGATCTGCAATTCAGGGTCTGACACCAATCCCCTTCCTCGCAGTCGCCAACAATCCCGCCAATCTGCCCCGCCATACCTCCACCCGTCAACCTCTTGGCTCCACCACGGCACCAAATGCCTAGACGGTTCCTGAGGCGCCTCAAATCTGGCCCCAGTCGACAACCTCTAGGTCCCACGGCCTCTAACGCACAGCTTCGTCACGGCATTCTCTAGATCAGTCAGCTCAGAACAGAACCATCTCCTGATCCCTGAGTGGCTGGACCGTGCTCGTGGCGCCATCACGGCCTGGGCTCATGACGCCACCTGTCAAGAGCTGTGACGGGAAACAACTGTGCAACGTCTAGAACGAGTTTAGACCCCCGCGTGTCTGTCTGTTTCTGTTGAACCGTCATCACCACGATCAGTTCGCCATACGGTGACCATACGGTTCGATCTCACACGCCTAATGAAGGGATAGCTACATTTAGCTTCGATTTGGGAACTAGGCGAGGGGAAACGGGCGTGGACGACGGAACGGGGACGTATGTACACGCGCTTCCTACTCGTGCGCAAGTGTACTCCCTCCCTTAGCGCGATAGGAGCCGTTGTAGGCTCCTCGATTTCGTAGGTTCTTCGCTCACGCAAGCTTCTCGCCTAGGTTTCTCGCCTAGGCTTCACATACGCGGAGGTTTCTCGTCGTCGTAGCTGTCTCGCCGTCGGTGTGCCTCCTCGGCGCACAGCAGACACACGGACCAGTCGCCTTACACCCTCGTACCGCAAACGTTCACGATCTCCACTTATCTCTGCATTTTTCTTTCTTAAAGATTAAGAATCTGTGCTGAATCTTTCGTGTGCTGAAACGTTATCACCGGGTAGCGTTGACGGAATTCGTCAACATGAACGAACCCTGGCTGGAACCGTCGCCAGGCGGCGCGTTCACAGACACGCCTTGCCCAGACGATCTCATCCCGCAAATGGGCGGCTTAGGTGCAATGGATTCAAATCTGAATCCGATCCAACATGCGTCCCTCACACACTCCGCCGGCGTGTTCCGCGCCCTTCAACAGTCGACTCATGAAACCGAAACTCCGCATAGATCTGCCCGCGCGCTGCAGGATTTGACGACATCCGCAACAACCGATCCAGCCGCAGCCGCCCTGTCCGCTCCGCCTCCCGCGCCTTTCCCCCCGCCGCCCCCGCGCATGGTCAATCTGCTCCAAGGTGCCCCCCCGCCGTCCGTGCCCAAGCTGGGCGTTCTCTCGGGCTCCGTCGCTCCCGCGGCGGCCCCCAACGCGCCGCTCATCGATGCGCCTCCCCCGCAACCGCCCAACGCGCCTCCACCTATCGCAGCGCAACCGCCGCCAGTTACGGTGCCGAAACCACCAAGTTTCAAGGGCAGACCGCCGCCGGCGGTGAATCCGCCGTCTAAGTCGCGGGGGGGCAAGCCGCCAGCTCCGGTACTGCAAATTCCCCCTAATGCGCCGCCCCCGCTTCCGCCCGTCATAGATGCGCCTCCCCCTGTTCTCCCCGATCCCCCTCCGCCGATGATCGATATCCAGCCTGCGCCCCCTCCCGAGATTATCTTCCCCCCTCCTGAGTTTCCGCCGCCAAAGCCTCCCCCGAAGCCGCTGGCGCGGCCGCCGCCAAAGCCGCCAACCCTGCCCCCGCCAGTGCCGTCACCTCCGCCTAAAAAACCTCCGCCCCCGCCTTTAATTATCAAACGACCTCCGAAACCCCTTATAGCGAGACCTCCGCCCCCTGCTGAGCCCCCCGCCGCACCTCCCGTGCTGCCTCCCGCGGAACCCCCCGCGGAACCCCCCGCGGAACCCCCCGCTGAACCACCTGCGGAACCACCTGCGCCGCCCCCCGCAGAACCCCCAGCTCTTCCGTCTGCTGCTCCCCCAATCGAACCCCCCGCTCCTGCGCCCGCGCAAGTCGTTGATCCTCCGCCTAAGCCTGCGCCCGCGCCTTCCCCAATCGCCTCTCCGCCGCCGCCCCCGAAAGCACCTACGCTCGTGCGCCCGCCGCGGCCAAAGCTGCGCAACCCGCCGCCGCCAAAGGCGCCTCCGCCGCGCGGGGAAGCTCCCGCCCCTGCGCCTATATTCATCCCCACCCCGCCGCCTCTCTCTCCCCCTTTCAACAACATGCCGTCCCCGCCAGTCCATTACATGTCGCCGCCCCCGCCGCAAGCGACGGCGCCCGCGCCGGCGCCGGAAGCGGGGGTGAGCGCAGCGGTAGTGGCGGGCGCGGTGGCGGGGGGAGCGCTGCTGCTGGTGACGCTGGTGGTGGGGCTGCTGTGCTTTTTCTATTTCGTAGTTAATCGGCGAGAGGAGGAGGAGGAGGGATTCCCGCCGCGAGGCAGCACGTCTGACTTCTACGCGCTGAAAGGTGAGCTCAGGTCGTGTGCGGTGGTGCGTGGTGAGTGCGTGGTGGTGTGCGGTGAGGTGCGGTGTATCGTTTATGGCGTGTCACAACTGCTGTGCGTTTTCTATTTCGTAGTTAATCGGCGGGAACGGCCAGGGAGGGTCGGCTGGCTCTTGAGTCAACTCCTTTCTCAAGAAGTGCTGAGTCAACTCTTTCCTTTACTCAAGGGACACCCCTTTCCCCATCAACACTCCCTCCTCGCCTCACCACTCCCCCCCATGGTCCCATCAGGCAACGGTATGTACGCTGAAAGCTTCTACACGTCAGCATCAGGCCAGGGAGGGTCGAGTTACTTTTGAGTCTACTCCCTCCCTCACACTCAACAGACGTATCTCACCAACACTCACCTCCTCTCCCCATCCCCCCCCCCAATCAGGCAACGGCATGTACGCTGAGAGCTTCTACACGTCAGCATCAGGCCAGGGAGGGTCGGGTTACCCTATGTTACCGCCGCCCAACCCATACGCCGTGGTCCCCATCGGTTCCCACATGATGCTCCCCCCAGACGACCCTTCCGCCGGTTCCGCCTCCCCTTTTTGAGGCGCCTCAAATGTTCCCCCATACGACCCTTCCTCTGGCTCCGCTTTTCAACCAGCAACGGCATGTATGGAGAGAGCTTCTACACGTCAGCATCCGGCCAGGGAGGGTCGGGTTACTTTTGAGTCTACTCCCTCCCTCACACTCAACAGACGTATCTCACCAACACTCACCTCCTCTCCCCATCCCCCCCCAAATCAGGCAACGGCATGTACGCTGAGAGCTTCCCATCCTCTCACCCTCTCCTCCTCTCACCCACCCCTTCCTCGCACCCTCTCCCTCCTCTCACCCTCCCCACCTCTCACCTCCTCCACTCCTCTCCTCACTACCCCGTCCCCCTCGAGGCAACGGCCAGGGAGGGTCGGCTGGCTCTTGAGTCAACTCCTTTCTCAAGAAGTCTTGAGTCAACTCCTTTCTCAAGAAGTCTTGAGTCAACTCCTTTCCCAAGAAGTCTTGAGTCAACTCCTTTCTCAAGAAGTCTTGAGTCAACTCCTTTCTCAAGAAGTCTTGAGTCAACTCCGTCCTTTACTCAAGGGACACCCCTTTCCCTTCCGCTGGTTCCGCCTCCCCCTCCCTCTCTGCCTCCGCCTCCCCATCAGGCAGTGGCACTGCATGAAAGGCGAGAGCTTTTACCATCAGGCCAACACTCCCTCCTCTCCTCTCTTCTCCTCACTCTCCCCCTCCCCACCAGGCAACGGCATGTACGCAGAGAGCTTCAACACGACAGCATCAGGCCAGGGAGGGTCGGGTTACCCTATGTTACCGCCGCCCAACCCATACGCCGTGGTCCCCATCGGTTCCCACATGATGCTCCCCCCAGACGACCCCTCCGCGGGTTCCGCCTCTGCTTCCGCCGGGAGAGAGCTTTTACCATCAGGCCAACACTCCCTCCTCTTTTCTCTAACACTCCCTCCTCTTTTCTCTAACACTCCCTCCTCTTTTCTCTAACACTCCCTCCTCTTTTCTCTAACACTCCCTCCTCTTTTCTCTAACACTCCCTCCCCTCCTCCAGGCAACGGCATGTACGCTGAAAGCTTCTACACGACAGCGTCAGGCCAGGGAGGGTCGAGTTACCCTATGTTACCGCCGCCCAACCCGTACGCCGTGGTTCCCATCGGTTCCCACATGATGCTCCCCCCAGACGACCCCTCCGCGGGCTCCGCCTCCGCAGCCGCCGCCGCCGCCGCGGGGATGGGCGTGGGGATGGGTATGGGGGCGGTAGCAGCAGGGGCGGGGGCAGCAGGCGCGAGCAGCAGGGGGCAGGAGAATCAGAATCAGATGCAATCGCAATCCTGGTTTTCGTATGAGGAGCTAGAGCAGGCTACGGGGGGGTTTGCAAGGACGAATCTGCTGGGGGAGGGAGGGTTCGGGAAGGTGTACAAAGGGGTGGTGAGGGATGGGAAGGAGGTTGCGGTGAAGGTGCTGACGATCGGGGGCGGGCAGGGGGAAAAAGAATTCCGGGCAGAAGTGGAGATTATTAGTAGGGTGCACCATAGGCACCTGGTGACGCTGCTGGGGTACTGCATTGGGGGCGATCAACGGCTGCTGGTTTATGAGTTTGTGCCGAATGGGACGCTAGAGGCAGCGTTGCATGGTGAGTCGATGATAGTGGGGTTACATGGTAACAGCTTTCTGCATAAAACCTGGTAGGGTGCACCATAGGCATCTGGTGACGCTGCTGGGGTACTGCATTGGGGGCGATCAGCGGCTGCTGGTTTATGAGTTTGTGCCGAACGGGACTCTAGAAGCGGCGTTACATGGTGAGTCATTGTGGTTACATGGTAACCCTATTTTGGGCGTATTGCATTGGGGGCGATCAGCGGCTGTTGGTGTATGAGTTGAGTTTGTGCCCAACGGGACTCACCCCACCACTCGCCCAGCTCTCCACTCACCGCTCCTCTTTCCCTGCCCCACCTCCCCCCATTCCACCCTGCAGGCAAGAACGCGCCGGTGATGAGCTGGGCTTTAAGGATGAAGGTGGCCATAGGAGCGGCTAAGGGGCTGGCCTACCTGCACGAGGACTGTGAGTCAACCCTTGCGATACAATCTTTCCATGTGTCATACACAATCACATTGTGTGGGTTTAAGTCATTCGTGCTGTGCCGTGCATCCGATGGGTAAGGTGGCCATAGGTGCGGGTAAAGCTCTCCTTGATGAAAAAACGCCGTGTGCCACGGTAACGAGGTGACTTTTGAGTCGACTCAAAAGTCAAAAGTCACTTTGAGTCGACTCAAAAGTCACCTGGGTTCAAGTCATTCGTGCTGTGCCGTGCATCCGATGAATAAGGTGGCCATAGGAGCGGCTAAGGGGCTGGCCTACCTGCACGAGGAGTGTGAGTCAACCCATGCGTTACAATCATTCCGTGCGTCATACCCAGTCACATTGTGTGGGTTAAAGTCGCCGTGCATCCGATAAGTAATGTGGCCGTAGGAGCGGCTAAGGGGCTGGCCTACCTGCACGAGGACTGTGAGTCATGCGACCCTGCGTTACAGTCACACACTTGGTGCATGTTTTAGTCACTCACTCGGTGTCTATCACATCACAGTCACTCGCCCAGTGCCACTTTGTGCGCCATTGTCAGTCTGTGCGCCATTGTCACTCCGTGCATGCCTTGACCTTCCTGTGTGAGTTTCTGACCTTCCTGTGTGAGTTTCTGACCTTCCTGTGTGAGTCACCTGACCTTCCTGTGTGAGTCAAAACTGGTTTGCTTCCTGTATAATTAAACCCACCCGTTTTTCTGTGGTTACAAGACTGGTTTGCTTGTTTCGCGGGGATCTTCCGTTTTAGTCACAACGCCATGCCGTCTCTTATGGCATTCCATCCCACCCAATCCCACTACTCTCCATCCCACCACGTCCCATTGCGTCCCATCTCATCCCATCCCATCCCATCCCATCCCATCCCATCCCATCCCATCCCATCCCATCCCATCCCATCCCATCCCATCCCATCCCATCCCATCCCATCCCATCCCATCCCATCCCATCCCATCCCATCCCATCCCATCCCATCTCGTGCCCCACTGCATCCCACCCTGATCCACACCGTCCCACCCTGCCCTACCGCGTCCCACCTCGTCCCACCGCTTCAGGCCATCCGCGCATCATTCACCGTGACATCAAGTCGTCCAACATCCTGCTCGACCAGCAGTACGAGGCTCAGGTGAGAGCGGTATCCTCGTTATAAGGTGATGGCGTTATATGGTAGAATCCTCGTTATAAGTGATGTTTAAACAACATCAAGTCGTCCAACATATTGCTCGACCAGCAGTACGAGGCTCAGGTGAGAGCGGTATCCTCGTTATAAGGTGATGGCGTTATAAGGTAGAATCCTCGTTATAAGTGATGTTTAAACAACGTCAAGTCGTCCAACATCCTGCTCGACCAGCAGTACGAGGCTCAGGTGAGAGCGGTATCCTCGTTATAATATGGTAGAAGCATCAAAGGAATCCTCGTTATAAGCATGACGTCCAACCAGTATCGAAAGAAGTATCCCCATTATGAGCCAAAAGTAATTATTTTTGTTAATCATTGCCTCTCCTTGCCTCTCCTTGCCCCTCGTTACCCTTTATTACCCCTTTTCACCGCTCTACTCCCCCATTCGACCATCATAGGTGGCGGATTTCGGACTGGCCAAGCTGGCGACTGAGGGAGCCACCCATTACACTCTTTACTCCTCCTTACTTCTTGTTACTCCTCCTTACCCCTTGTTACTCCTCCTTACCCTTCATTTCTTCGGTCGACCATCATAGGTGGCGGATTTCGGACTGGCCAAGCTGGCGACGGAGGGAGCCACTCACGTGTCGACACGTGTCATGGGGACGTTCGGGTGAGTGGCATGGGGTAATGGGCATGTTTTGAAAAGGGTTGCACTGGGTGATGGTGACTTCTACTCACACCTGGTCCTGCTGCGACCATCTAACACTGCTTCTTCCCCTCTCCCATTCGATGCTCGTTCCCCTTCTCCCTTCCCCCCTCCCCCCCGCCCCTCAGCTACCTTGCACCAGAGTATGCCATGAGTGGCAAGCTCACAGACAAATCAGACTTGTTCTCCTTCGGAGTGGTGCTGCTGAAACTCGGGATAACCCTCTCAATTACTCCTCTCCTCCCTCCTTCCTTTCCATACCCCCTGTTGCACTTCTATTTCCCTCTCCCCCCCACCCCACAGCTACCACACACCAGAGTACGCCATGAGTGGCAAAGTGACAGACAAGTCAGACGTGTTCTCCTTCGGAGTGGTGCTGCTGGAACTCGTAACAAGCAAACAACCCTCTCGATTCCCCCTTTGCTCCCACCTTCCCCTGCCCCGTGCTGCCCTTCTGTTCCACCACCTCCTTCTCCGTTCCACACAGCTACCTGGCACCAGAGTATGCCATGAGTGGCAAGCTCACAGACAAATCAGACGTGTTCTCCTTCGGAGTCGTGCTGCTGGAGCTGGTGACGGGGCGCAAGCCAGTCGACGCCTCACAGCCGCCTGGCCAGGAGAGCCTTGTGGAGTGGGTGAGTGGCTCGTGCTATTGTTTCCATTCGCCTCTGTGTGTTCTCCTTCGGAGTGGTGTGCTGCTGGAGCTGGTGACAGGCCGCAAACCGGTAGACGCCTCACAGCCGCCTGGCCAGGAGAGCCTCGTGGAATGGGTGAGTGGCTTCATTTGTTATCGTCTCTTCAGGTCCTTGCTTGTCTCGCCCTCTCCTTTCCTTCGGAGTCGTGCTGCTGGAGCTGGTGACAGGCCGCAAGCCGGTCGACGCCTCACAGCCGCCTGGCCAGGAGAGTCTCGTGGAGTGGGTGAGTGGCTTCCGCGGTGCTTCCTCCTTTCAAATGCGGTGCTTGCTCCTCTGGGTTTCCCCTTGCCTCTCGTGTTCTCCTTCGGAGTCGTGCTGCTGGAGCTCGTCAAAGGCCGCAAGCCAGTGGACACCTCACAGCCGCCTGGCCAGGAGAGCCTTGTGGAGTGGGTGAGTTTCCTGGTGGTTGTATTCTCCCTGCCTTGAGTGGGTGGGTGCCGTGCTAGTGGGTGGGTGCCGTGCTAGTGGGTGGGTGCCGTGCTAGTGGGTGGGTGCCGTGCTATCTTGCTCTCTCGTTCCTTCAGAGTCGTGCTGCTGGAGCTGGTGACAGGCCGCAAGCCAGTCGACGCCTCACAGCCGCCTGGCCAGGAGAGCCTTGTGGAGTGGGTGAGTGGCTCGTGCGGTGCTTCGTCCTCTCCTTACTTGTCTCGCTCTCTTCCCGTTGTTCTCTTGACTGGTGCTGCCGGGGCTGGTCCAAGGCCGCAAGCCAGTGGACGCCTCACAGCCCCCTGGCAAGGAGAGCCTTGTTGAATGGGTGAGTGGCTTCAATCGTTTTATCAACTCTTCTCTGCCGTGCTTGGCTCGCTCTCTCTCCTTTGGAGTGCTGCTGCCGGGGCTGGTCCAAGGCCGCAAGCCAGTGGACGCCTCACAGCCCCCTGGCAAGGAGAGCCTTGTTAAATGGGTGCAGAGACGACTGCTTCTGTTCCTCCGCTCATTTGCTCCTCGCCGCCTCTGCTGCATCTCTTGTGTAATGGAAGAGACAGAATTTAGGAAACAGTGTTAAGGCAGACAGGTGAAGGAAACAGAGTTAAGACAGACAGATGAAAGAAAGTAGCTCACGGAAACTGGAAAACGGCAACGCATACAGTCAATGCAAAATGAAATATGGCAAGAAAAGAGGCTTACCAAAGAAGAGCATATGCGATTGCTCCTGTTCCTCCACTCCCTCTGTTGGCCCGCTGCTAGCCAGCAACCAGGTGGACATGCTGGTGGATGCGCGGCTGGAGGGGCGGTACGACGAGGAGGAGATGGAGAGGAATGTGGCCTTATCCCTTTAACCCTTCTCTCTTATCTCGTGCTTTTGCTTTCCCCTTGTCCTTTCAACCCTCCCTGTCTTTTCAGTCCCGCCCGCTGCTAGCCAGCAACCAGGTTGATGTGCTGGTGGATGCTCGGCTGGAGGGGCGGTACGACGAGGAGGAGATGGAGCGATGGAGGTTGCATCTGTATCCACTCAACTCTTCCTCTTTCTCCCTTGTTTCTGCCATAACACTTCACTCCTTCCCCTCCCCCCAGTCCCGTCCCCTGCTGGCCAGCAACCAGGTGGACGTGCTGGTGGATGCACGGCTGGAGGGGCGGTACGACGAGGAGGAGATGGAGCGAGCCATTGCCACGGCGGCTCTCTGTGTTCGGCACTCTGCCAATCTGCGACCCAAGATGGGACAGGTCAGTGAAAGGACGGGCAGGCTTTGAAATGGGGGGATGGGAGGTAGGGGCCGAGAGGGGGCAATGGGCTAAGAGGGAATGGTGGTACGAGGAGGAGGAGATGGAGAGGGCGATTGCAACTGCTGCTCTCTGCGTCAGGCGCTCTGCCAATCTGCGACCCAAGATGGGGCAGGTCAGTTAGAGGGGAGGGACAAAAGAGGGGAGCAACGGGCAGAGAGAGGGAGGGGCGGTACGAGGAGGGGATGGATCGAGCTATTGCCACGGCGGCTCTCAAGTTCGACACTCAGCCAACCTGGGACCCAGGATGGGGCAGGTGAGAGGCAAGATGGGGCAGGTGAGAGGCAAGATGGGGCAGGTGAGAATGACCATGCGGACATGCGGACAGCATCAGCATACGCTGGAACAGCACCCCATGTTCATTGACCACCCCTTTGGAGGGCCCACTCAGGACTTTCACTCCCTTCCTTCACCCAACCACCCCGTGCCATACCCCACGCCTTGCCTTACGCCTTGCCTGACTCTTTCCCCCGTGCCTTTACCCATGCCTTTCCGCATACCTCTTCCCCCCCCCACTCAGGCGGTAGGAGGGCAGTGGCAGTGTAAGCGACATGCGGACAGCATCAGCACCCCCATGCCTCCGACCATACCCTATCCAACCCATGCCTTTCCCATGCCTCCTCAACTCAGGTGGTGCGCATGTTGGAGGGCAGTGGCAGTGTAAGCGACATGCAGTCAGCATCAGCACCCCCATGCCCCTGACCATACCCTATCCAACCCATGCCTTTCCCATGCCTCCTCAACTCAGGTGGTGCGCATGTTGGAGGGCAGTGGCAGTGTGAACGACATGCAGTCAGCATCAGCACCCCCATGCCCCTGACCATCCCCTGTCCAACCCATGCCTTTCCCATGCCCCCACTCACCCACCCTCAGGTGGTGCGCATGTTGGAGGGCAGTGGCAGTGTGAACGACATGAGGACGGCATCAGCACACGGGCAAAGCACCATGTTCAACCACCACCCCTTCGGGGGGCCCACTCAGGACTTTCACTCCCTTCCTTTGCCCCACCACATCCCACGCATTACCCCGCGCCCTACCCCACGCCTTGCCTTACACCTTTCTCCCTGCCTTAACCCATGCCTTACCCCACACCTCTCCCTCCTCCCCCCAAACAGGTGGTGCGCATGTTGGAGGGCAGTGGCAGTGTGAACGACATGCAGTCAGCATCAGCACCCCCATGCCCCTGACCATCCCCTGTCCAACCCATGCCTTTCCCATGCCCCCACTCACCCACCCTCAGGTGGTGCGCATGTTGGAGGGCAGTGGCATTGTGAACGACATGAGGACGGCATCAGCACACGGGCAAAGCACCATGTTCAACCACCACCCCTTCGGGGGGCCCACTCAGGACTTTCACTCCCTTCCTTTGCCCCACCACATCCCACGCATTACCCCGCGCCCTACCCCACGCCTTGCCTTACACCTTTCTCCCTGCCTTAACCCATGCCTTACCCCACACCTCTCCCTCCTCCCCCCAAACAGGTGGTGCGCATGTTGGAGGGCAGTGGCAGTGTGAACGACATGCGATCAGCATCAGCACCCGGGCAGAGCACCATGTTCAACGACCACCCCTTTGGCGGGCCCACTCAGGACTTTGACTCAGCAATGTATTCCGCTGAGATGCGCCAGCAGTACATGATGCCACATCAGCAGTCGCTGACTCATCAGTCGTCGTCGCTGACTCACCAGCAGTCGTTTGAGCATGAGCAGCAGTACGGGGGAGCGAGTGGGTACGGTACGGATAGCGGGTTTGAAGATGGCTATGCCGGTGGCTCGGCGGGTGGTTCGGCAGGAGGTTCGGTGGTGGGAGGTTCGGCGAGTGGGAGGGGGTTCGTTCCTGGAAGCAGCCGGTTTGTTGGCCAGCCTTTGGAAACGGTGAGTCTTCTCGTAACCATGTGGTGTTACAACAGGTCACATTTGGAATTGGTGAGTCTCCTTGTAACCACGTGGTGTTACAACATTGTCTATAAGGACACGCCTCAAGAACACCCTTTGGAAACGGTGAGTCTCCTTGTAACCATGTGGTGTTGCAACATGTTTATCGTTTTATTTATTTATTTATTTATTTATTTTTGTGATAGAATAACTGGTGCTGGTACCTTGACTCTTTCTTTCTTCCTGCCCTTCTTTGTCTACTATTATGATCCTCCGTTCTCCCGCTTTCCCTGCCACCACTTGGCAGGTTCCCTCCAATCCCAACAGTGCAGAGTTCACCGACAGAAGCAGAGAGCCTTCAGTTGCATGAATGGAGAGTGTTCCTGATACCTACCTTGTCTCATGTTTTCTCCTCCCGTCCTTGTTTGTTTACAATTTCGCTCCTCTGTTCTCCCTCTGTTCCTGCCTTCTGGTACCCTCCCCTTGGCAGATTCCCTCCAATCCCAACAGTGCAGAGTTCACCGACAGAAGCAGAGAGCAGTACTGAGGCGCCTCAGGAAGAATCATGTGGGACACAAGGAGGGCTTGTGAAGACGCATTGCGAATAATCAAAACATAGGAAAGGAAACATAAGGAAGAAGAGTTGCAGATGTGCGGGGGTGTTTTTTTTTTTCTTGTGAAGATGGCAGGAGTTTGGTGCGAGGCAGAGGGGGGGAACTAAATAACAGGCTAAGAATATGATGGAGGGATTTTTATGCATCTGAGCATCGTGGTGGCGCAACTGGCATAAGTAGAGGTGTGGGAGACACAAAATTACATGCCGGCTTGGCTTGGTATGTTGTGGGCGGGACAGTCTTGAAGTCTGGATATTAGATGCTGTAAGTGCCGACAAGTCCTGACTGACCAACGGCAATTTATTTATTTGTAGCAGCACTTCAAACAACTTGTTTCAGGATGTTCGAACAGACCTGACTGGAGATTTTAGGTACATTCTCCATCATTGCAAGAATCAAATTACTGTACACACGTTCTTATGTGGTAACGGGACTGTTCAAGAAGCTGTCAAGAAGCTGACTAGGGCACCTCAAGGTGTGAGTGAGACGGCTCTTACGGTACTTTACTGTATTTCCAAGGACCGTGTTCAAGGCCTGCCCGTACATATCCTCCTTCCTCGCCTCTCGTCCTAGATGCTGGAAGGCAACCTACCACCGCAGCAAGCGTGTCCAGCTGGCAGATTGATGCCCAACCGAGGCATTCTTTCTTCCAATGAGTGCTTCTGGCGTGTACAATTGATGCCTGTTTGAGCCCCTCCCGGTTGCCTTATGAAGGGGGCGTATAAGCTGTCACGAGCAGTTCGCATAAGTTTCGTCAATTCGCAGCTAGCTAAAAAGAATTCGCATGTGCTTATAAACAAGACTCTGCTACCTAGTTACCTAGTTTGACTTCAGTCTCTTCTGCTTGACTTCGGTCTCTTCTGCTTGACGCGCTTGTAATGTAGGTGCATAAGGCTGGGGAAACAACCTCGGGTGCAGCGTATCCATCCGGCGCAAGGCAAATTCGCGTGCATGGGGTGAGCATCAATTGTATGGCCGGGTTTCTCACAAGTAGCGCATGCCAACTTGTAGCCGAGTCAAGCTAGCAGGCATGCGGTCGTCACCATCCGACTAGGCCACGGGCGAGGTGTCCGAATGAAACCGAGAAGCACCGACAGAGGAAAGTCGAGCTCGAATGAAATGCGGCGGGTCGCGACAGAGAGCTCAGCTTGCGTCCGTGTCGCGAGTCCGTCCCAGTTGTCACAACTGTGGCATCATTCCCAGCCTCACAAGTTCTCCAACTGACTTGCCGCCTTTTTCCGTCACTCGATCTTTGCCGTGCGCGCGCGAACGTACCACCCGTTGCCATCTCCCAGCCCTTCTCCTCGAGATATACTAGCGGGCCCGGGAGCGGGAAGGAGGGGAGGGGTTGCGGAGAAGCGGACGGACGGCGGAGCACTGCGCTGGCGCAGTGCTGGCGCTGGGGCTGTTCCGCGAGGGTTCGATATAGGGCTGGTCCCACTTACCATCTTATTCGCTTCGCATTGGCTAATTTTGGCAGCAAACCGGTACAGTGCAGAGTTTAGTAGCCTATAGTCGTCTGGCTGCTCGCGTCGCGTCGCTGGGATGCCGCCGCATCCACTCGTTCCGTGTCTGAACCCCGCCTTTCGCGCCAAAAAAAGGTCGTTTCAAGCGTACGTTCAGAAAGCTCTCAAAGTTGTGCCTCCAGGCTGGCACCATCAGTCTCCAGTTCACCATGCACCTCTACCCTATCCGATCCCAGCCCAGATTCTATCCGCCTGTCGGTTTCTGTCGAAAAATGCTCCAGGGAGCTTCTATTCCGGTTCGCGGTCGTCTTTTCGGGCAAATCCGAGTCCTACGTGAAGTACGAAATTAACTTAGTTGTTGAAGAGGAGCTCTGAGAGCTCCAGCTTGTTCTTCCTTCGTTGGAACTTCCAGTTGAACTGGACAATTGTTGTCGTCACGGTGACAGCTCTATCTGTGGTTTCCTTTCGCCGAGCTCTAAGCTGGCTCAGTTTCTGGGGTATCATCCATCAGCCTGCAGAGTATAGACTGAACTCGTAGTAGTAACGAACTGCGAGATTTGTTACCCACCTTTCGCCTACCCACAATCTGTCTACTGTACTACCTGCTTGGCGAACCCAGCTTCTGTCCAGCCGTCAAAGAGACGGGAGCTCTTCCTGTGGGTGCGTGGGCTCCAATAGAAGCAATGAGGCCTGTGTTAATAAGGCCGGGATTGAAAGAGAAGGTTCCTGGTGGTGTTAAGGAGAAGAAGAAGCGCGTCAGTGGCGCACTTTGGAAGCCGGAGGTACAGTGAATCTTATTCTGTTGTGATTTTTTCTCTCCCTTTATTATCAACGGTTATTCCCCTTTTTTTTTGTTAAGGAATTTGGGTTGACGTAGCTGTTTTTCTTTTTGTTGGTGCGTGCAGGAAGATGAGATATTGTTGGCCCACGTGGCAAAGCATGGCACAAACAAATGGACACTCATACAGTCCATGGGTCTTCTACCCACACGAAACCACAAGGCGTGCTGCAACCGCTTTATTGTGCTCAAAGGGTAATTACTCACCCTCATGCTTCTCATTTAGCACATAATATTCTGTAATTCCATTCCCAAGTGCGTGAGTCGAATATTTGCCCTAAACTTTGCGTGCACCATTTGCAAGAGCTTTGTCATCACTACCTGACATGGCTGGTTTTATAACTTGGCACTTATTCATTCCTTCTATGCGGCGAGGTTGTCACTGCTACATCTACTCTCTTCAGGAACAACTACATTTACACAATCCGTACTAACCGATATTACCGCATATCTCATCTGTCACATTCCCTTGTTCCCCTTGCCATGACGTGCAGAAAGCTCTCCAATCAGAGCAAGGATACGGCACGCATAAACACTTCTGCTCTCGGCTCGCCTCGGAAAGTGAACCGGGGTACGGCTCACAAGGACAGGGATTGCAAGGCAATGATGATGATGACAGACAAGCTGCCGAGAACCACCAAACAATCCATGAAGCCTACTGCCAGGCTGAATCGTTCAGGAAAAACTTCCGGGTCCTCTCTCAGCATCGTTCAGTGCCTTCAAATTATAGTTGCGTCCGGCCCAGCTCTCAGCAACTCGTCTTTTCAGCAGCTCACGCCGTTTCAGCATCAGCACACTGCAGGATTGAAGACCGCCAAGACGGAGAGAATGTTGACGACAGTGGATCCTCAGATCGGAGCAGGGACAACTGTGACGAGTGAGCTCAGTATGAGGGGTGAAGCAGCAGTAGCAGCAGCAGGAGAAGCAGCAGGAGAAGTCGCAGGAGAAGCAGCAGCAGGAGGAGCCGCAGGAGAAGTCAGCAGCAGCAGCAGCAGCAGCGCCAGCAACAACAGCAGTGACAGAGATGCCTGAAAGTTCAAGCCCAGCAGCCATGGAATTCCATACCACATGCTTGTTCGGGCATCAATTGCGTCCATTGGCACCGCAGCAACACCGTTCATCACCAGACTTCAGCCATTCAGCATCGCAGCGGCAACTCCCCCCAGCCTCACAGCAAATCCCCCCAGTCTCACAGCAACTCCCCCCAGCCTCACAGCAAATCCCCCCAGTCTCACAGCAACTCCCCCCAGCCTCACAGCAACTCCCCCCAGCCTCACATCAACTCCCCCCAGCCTCACAGCAAATCCCCCCAGCCTCACAGCAACTCCCCCCAGCCTCACAGCAACTCCCCCCAGCCTCACAGCAATTCCCTTTAGCACCGCACTCCCACCGACCTCTCCCTGCTGGTTCAGATCCTTTAGTCTTGCGCATCGTCCCACCCACCGCAGCTTCCCCCCGCCCTTCATCTGCCACTCTCGCCGACACTCCCCTTCCTCCGCTCCCTCTCCCTCAGAATCGCATGGGCATTGAAACATTCTCACTGCTGGAATCATCAACGCAGGAGCTGAAGGGCATCGAACCCTTTCTCCTGGGCGAATGGCCTCCTCACCAAAAGGACGTCTTTGATGATGTCAGCATCCCTAACACTTTGCATGCTGATGTGGATCAGATGCTCTTTGACCATGCAACTTCTGTTGACGATACTCGCAGATTGGACTACACAGGTGCAGGTGTTATTGGCCCGGATCCCAGCCTACCAGTTGGTGAGGTTGCCACCAATGCGGATTTTTCTGCCTTTGCCGATTCGCACGGAGTTGTTGCTGGTTTGCACTCCGGTGATGCTGGTGCAAGTTTACATGGAGTTGGTACGTGCCTCAAGGCTGTCTCTCCTGGTGTGGCGGATCCGTGCTGCTATGTAGACACAGTTTTTCCGAGCGTTGTTTCTGATTCGGAGGCCGCTGCTACTTCTGATGCTGAAGCAGCAGCAGCTGCTGCTGACGCAGTCGCTGCGATTGCTGCTGCTGATGCAGCCGATGCAATTGCTGCAAGAGATGCAGCCGCTGCACTGGCTGCTGATCACGCCATCGCATCTTTCTTAATCGAGGCTGAGCTGAGGAGACTCAACAATGCCCTCATGCACTCATCTCCTACAACCAAGCCTTCACCCGGACATTCTCCTGAATGTTCACCCAAATCTTCTCCTGAATCTTCACTTGCGTCAGCTTTGGAGGGCCAGATCTTAACAAAGGTGGCTCAAGAGTTGTTACTGCCGTTCTCTTTCCATCCGGCAAGCACTGCGTGTTCCTCTGCCCCAGATTGTACCTCACTGCCAGCAGCAGCAATGCCATCAGATATGTTCTCTTGGCTCCCACCATCTACCGCTGCTTCTGCTCTTGCGTTTGCTGCATCTGCGCCTGTTTTGTCGACTTCAGTTGCAACTTCTGTGTATCCGCTGAGCCGCATCTCGCTCCCCAGAAGTCAGATGAGAACGACTTCCACTGAGGCTGGCCTACTGAAGCCAGATGAACTGTTTGAAGCGTGGTGCAATGGGCCGCTCTGCAGGGTGAGTTGAACCAGAGGGCATGCAACTGTAGCACTTGGGACAGCGAATCTGGCCGTATGAAGCCAGATGGGCTGGTACAAGTACGGTGCAATGGGCCGCTCTGCAGGGTGAGTTGAACCAGAGGGCATGCAACTGTAGCACTTGGGACAGCGAATCTGGCCGTATGAAGCCAGATGGGCTGGTACAAGTATGGTGCAATGGGCCGCTCTGCAGGGTGAGTTGAACCAGAGGGCATGCAACTGTAGCACTTGGGACAGCGAATCTGGCCGTATGAAGCCAGATGGGCTGGTACAAGTATGGTGCAATGGGCCGCTCTGCAGGGTGAGTTGAACCAGAGGGCATGCAACTGTAGCACTTGGGACAGCGAATCTGGCCGTATGAAGCCAGATGGGCTGGTACAAGTATGGTGCAATGGGCCGCTCTGCAGGGTGAGTTGAACTAGAGAGGGCATGCAACGGTAGCGCTTGGGACATCAAATCTGGCCGTATGAAGCCAGACGGGCTGGTTGAAGTATGGTGCAATGGGCCGCTCCGCAGGGTGAAGTAGAAGGCATGCCGCAGCATTTTTCGAGACATGTTAAAACTCTGGCGTTTTTCCAGGCATCTGTAAGATCTCGCTGTCGGAAGTGGTGGCGCAACGGGCTGCTCTGCGTATCACTAGAGGGCATGAGACCATGTTGAATGCTGGTTTGGCGTGGGTCATTTTGCAGGTGGGTTTGGTGGATTGGAATAGAATGGCTTTTTTCCTAGTTGCTCTGCTGGGTGGCCTGCCACTGGAAGGTACGGTATGGCATGCCATGTTGAGTGGCTAGTATAGTATGGCATGTTCATGTTGATGCTAGTTAATATTGGTGCGCACACTTATACGGTAACACCTTCTGCCATCCACGTCTTCATTGCCCATGATATACATATATCGAAGTACTTTTCATTTAGGTACAAAGATCATGACCAGTTGGTATTCGATTGTATAGGTGCAAAGTAAGCCGCACATTTACCCAAGTACATTTTTGAGATATCTCAATGTTCATTACGACGCAGGCGTCGTTATCGAATCAGTCTTTAGTGCAAACATACCCCTTCCTCCGCGACCTGAAAGCTGCGCCACCTATGTACAGTCATCCTGTACCATACAGCGAACTAACTGCCCACAGCAGGATAGGGCGTGTCTTGCGCGTGTTTACAGCCATGCTTGCCTTGTGCAGTTTCCCTGCTGAGGGCAGGAAATGCGCACTTTGCGTGCTCACGGATCGTCTACCAGTCCAGCATCCCGAGCTATCCCCACGCCTAATCTACCGTTAATGGCTCAGGGAATCGCGGCGCCGCTTGCCACGTGCGAGCAATGTGGTAAGCGTTTCGGGACTCGCTCATACTCCGGGGTTCTCCTCGTGTACCTCCTGGTTTTACGAAAAGCCGCAGGGAAGCCGATTAGCAGCCTTAGTTTCTTCGCTGCCCGAATAACAGCCCGAAAGAAAATACATGCCTTGGGACCTCCACCAGAAGAAACGGCCTGCACCGACCGAACCCCCGAAATCTCGCGGTGTCACGCCCACCAGGAGAAGTGCACGTCTCAGTCGCCGCCCGTGTAAATTTCCCTTTTTATATTTTCTTTTGCCCACAGCACTGACCGAACCTTAATTTTTGGTTGCAAAAGGAGGAGCCCCTAGGCACGTCCTGAGCATCAATAGCAGCTGTAGACCATTGCGGATGTGCCGTCCGCAAGCTTACGAGCTGCAATAGCACTGTACAATACCGATTCGCTCATGCAATCACGGTCAAGAAAAATCGCAAGCCCGGTCAAGTAAAATTGCAAGCCTATAGGACCAGCAGGGAGAGCAAGAGAAAAGAAGGGGAGGAAGAAAAACGGAATGTCGGGATTGCTGCTGCGCTGCCGCGGTAAACATTGTCGCTAGGTGAAACCTCGGATAATACCACCTCCCTTCCCCGAAATCGCACTAGATACACCCGCGATTGCCTCCGATCTAGGTATACTCCCAGCAAAGTCAAGCACAGCCGCAAATCCGGCCTGGATGAGGAGCCGCCTTTCCTTGCGGGGATACGGACTGCTAGTCCGTGCCTGCTCGTTCGGTTCGGAAAGCACATCAGCCTGGCTCGGCTGAAGCAGCAGGCTCGGAGTAAGTGCATCTGGCTTGGAACACCGGTCCCGTACATCGCGGCTCCGCAATGCGATCCCCCTGTGTTAGCGCTTCTGCTTCCGTAATTTGGACGTCAATCCGGCTTTATCTGACAACGCCGCGCCGCAGCCGAAGCTCTCCGCGGCGGTGCTGCTGTGTCGACCCAAGAATCGCGCGATCATGGATTTGAGCATAAATGGAAGCCGCTCCGGTGACCAAACTCAGCTGTCTCTCCAGCCATACCCCCTCAATCAGTCGAGCGAGTCTGGTTTCTCCAGTCTACGCCGCTTTCCGCCAGTTCCGCCGGGTTCCGCCAGTTCCGCGGTTTCCGCCTGCGCACCACTGAAGCCGACCGCCTCGTTATCGTAGGCTGCTTCGCCGTGTTTTTCTGCTCTCTGGGCGATCGTCATCGTAACCATGGCTCCTTCCGTGATCGACGGCAATGGCTGCAGGTTCCACTCTGGCAGAGGCGGTGCGTCCTTCAGCAGCAAGACGAGCCATGGCTTCAGGACCTTCAGGAGCATCAATGCTGCTGCTGCCGTCCTGCTGCTGGTGGTTCTGCTGATGGTGTTGAATCTGCCGTTAAGCGTGCTCGCCGAGAATAAGCTGCTTCCCTGCACCTACTCCAACATCAAGGGGTACACCTCGTCTGTGCGTCCCTTCAAGGGGTGAGTGCTTGATTGGTGCTTGTAGCGAGTTCGCCTCTTAGCGTGTATGTGTGTTGTCAACTTATCCGCTGCCCTGCACCTACTCCAACATCAAGGGGTGAGTGCTTTGGTGCTTGTAGCGAATGCAGTTTATATCGAATCTGCTGGCAAGGGTGCGTGGCGTGGCAAAGACATGTCGTTTTCCTGCACGCACTTCAAGTTGAGGAGTGAAACGCCCAAACGAAACAAACTGAGCTGCTATCAGGCCTCTCATTTGTCTCAATCAGCCCCACACCCACACCCACATTCACTCACCCTTCCTGCATTCTCCCCTACATTTCTTCCCCGTTTTAAAATCCGGACTCCCCCCTTTCTACCCGCCTTCCATCTCCCCTTCCCCTCCCCCTTCCGCCCCCCTTTCTTCACCCGCTTCCGCTCCGCTTTTGCCCCGCTTTTGCCCCCTTTGCGCCCCCCTTCCGCCCCTCTCCCACCTCTCAACCCACGCTCTCGCCAGGCTGCGCCTGAACTGGAAGGTAGTAGTAGGAAGCACAGTCAAGTTCGACCTGCGGGCATCAGGCCCCGCCAGCAAGGGCTGGTTCAGCGTTGGCTTTTCCACCCCCTCACGCCCCTCTTCCGCTCCCCACTCCCCACTTCCCCCCCCCCCCCCCACGCCCCTTTTCCGCCCCCTTGCGCCCCGCTTGCCCCCTCTCGCCAGCCTGCGCCTGAACTGGAAGGTGGTGGGCAGCACAGTGAAGTTTGACCTGCGAGCATCAGGTCCCGCCAGCAAGGGATGGTTCAGCGTTGGCTTTTGCACTCCCCCTAACCCACCCGCAACCCAATTTCGCCCCATGCCCCCCGTGCCCTCGTCAGCCTGCGGCTGAACTGGAAGGTGGTGGGCAGCACAGTGAAGTTTGACCTGCGCGTGACTGGCCCCGCCAGCAAGGCCCCCCACCCCCCACTCCCCCCTCCTCTCCCCATCTGCCCCCTTTCCGCCCCCTTGCGCCCCCTTCGCCCCTCATCAGCCTTCGTCTCAACTGGAAGGTGGTGGGCAGCAAGGTGAAGTTCGACCCGCGTGCATCAGGGCCCGCCAGCAAGGGATGGTTCAGCGTTGGCTTTTCCACCGACGGGGAGATGACAGGCGACGCCATCACCATCACCTCCAGCACTCAACCCCTTTCTCCCCCATCCCCGCATAGTCCCTCACCACCTGTCCGCGCCCCTTTCGCCCCCCTTTCCAACCCCCCTTCCGCCCCCATTCCGTTCCCCCCTCCCCCCAAACTTCCGCCCCACTTTGGCCCTCCTTTTGCCAGGCTGCGTCTGAACTGGAAGGTAGTAGGAAGCACTGTTAAGTTCGACCTCCGCGCGACTGGCCCACCCAGCAAGGGCTGGTTCAGCGTTGGCTTCTCCACTGATGGGGAGATGACTGGCGACGCCATCACTGTCCCTTCCAGCACTGCCACGTCAGCAACGATCCACGCGCTCACAGGCACGAGCAGCGCCAGCGTGGCGGAGAGCACTGATTGGACGCCGGCAAAATTGGCGATTAAGAGGAAGGGCGGTGGTGCTTCTCTCAAGTGAGTTAAGGCAGTCTGTGCGACCCTCTGTGCCTCTATGCGACCCTCCGTGCTTCTATGCGACCCTCTGTGCCTCTATGCGACCCTCTGTGCTTCTATGCGACCCTCTGTGCTTCTATGTGGTGCCTCTATGCGATCTCTGCCTCTATGCGACCCTCTGTGTCGTGTCTGCCCCTGAGTGACCCTATAGGCTCTGAGAAGCAATGTGGCCTCGTGTCGCACAATGCACCCCTGAAATTGCCAACCGAGACTCTCACGGCATCGTCGCTCTTATACGATGTGGTGATGCAGTGTAGCGCAGTGCTGTGTAGTGTGGCGCAATGTGCTGCAGTGCAGTGCAGCGTGATGCAAAGTGACTTTTGGTTCAACTGCAAAAGTCACCTCAGCAATTGAACCTCTTGCTGTTGTCATCTCGCTTGCTCTGCTGGCAGGTTTGAGCAATCTGCGAGTGAAGGCAGCCCCGTGCCCTTTATACCCAATGCGTCTTATGGGTCAATTCAGAAGTTTAGTATGGGTTCGGCTTAAGAATGGCCCCCCTTTTGCTGTTGTCATCTCCTTTGCTCTGCTTGCAGGTTTGAGCGGTCTGCGAGCGATGGCAGTCCTGTGCCGTTCAACCCCAAGGGCAAGAACATTCTCATGTTTGCATACAAGAGCACAGAGTTTGACACCAGCAACATGCATGATGAGGAGTGAGTCTCTGTCTGTCCCTCTATACCTTCTGTATCCATCACTCTCTCGCACTGTGCCGTTCAACCCCAAGGGCAAGAACATTCTCATGTTTGCATACAAGGACACGGAGTTTGACACCAGCAACATGCATGATGAGGAGTAAGTCTCTGTCTGTCCCTCTATACCTTCTGTATCCACCACTCTCTCGCACTGTGCCGTTCAACCCCAAGGGCAAGAACATTCTCATGTTTGCATACAAGAGCACAGAGTTTGACACCAGCAACATGCATGATGAGGAGTAAGTCATGCTTGACTGATGAGTCAGGGTCATTGTCATGTCACCGTAAGAACATTCTCATGTTTGCATATAAGGATACGGCATTTGACACCAGCAACATGCACAATGAGGAGTGAGTCATGGTTTGAGTCGGTCTCAGTAGTCACTTCAAGAACATTCTCGTGTTTGCATACAAGGACACTGAATTCGACACCAGCAACATGCACGATGAGGAGTGAGTCATGGTTTGAGTCGGTCTCAGTAGTCACTTCAAGAACATTCTCGTGTTTGCATACAAGGAAACTGAATTCGACACCAGCAACATGCACGATGAGGAGTGAGTCATGGTTTGAGTCGGTCTCAGTAGTCACTTCAAGAACATTCTCATGTTTGCATACAAGGACACGGCATTTGACACCAGCAGCATGCATGATGAGGAGTGAGTCATCCCTGACTGATGAGTCTACTCGTGTTCACCTTAGGAGCATTCTCATGTTTGCGTACAAGGACTCGGCTTTTGACACCAAAAACCAGCACAATGAGGTAGAAGTCATGTTCATGGTCATGTTCATCGCTCATGTTCATCGCTCCTCACCAGCACAATCACTGTCTGTGCCTCCACTTGCTCGCTACCGGTAGTACCATCTCTTTTTTCGCGTGTAGCGTCTGTGCATCCACTGCACGCTGAACCCTAAACCCAATTCGATGCTGCAACCCATCCCTTTGTTTTTGCCTGTGCCTGCAGTGCGCATGTGATTGTCAACATGGCCTGCAACCCCTGCAAGCGCCCCTTCGGTTTCCTCTTCTGCCGGGGTTGACTTCTGCAGTGGTGGTTCATCTGTCAACTCCAATGTGGGCCTGTTCCTTTTCTAGGGTTCCTTTTCGTGCCGCATGTTCAAGAAACATGGAAACAAGTGATGCCCAGGGTTTAGGATGGGTGATTTCTGACACATGGGTTCTGTTTGGTGGGCTTTGTCCTGAACTGCTTATTTAATTAAAGGGCTTTTATTGAAGTCAGCAGCACTCTGCACAGCGGTGGAATGGGACCTTTCACAAAGAGTGAACATAAATATGGTACTGAATGCCATAATCTAACTGTACATGGAGGCCAGAGCTTCCGATTCTGTTTAGAAGCCATGAAGTACCTGCCACACAAAAGAAACTCGAATGAAACATGTTACCGGTAGCATAACTGAGTAACATCCATGCCATGTCAATCACCACACACAACACGACATCTCAACATAGACATAATGCCAGTGCCATGCAAATAGCACATCTCACCCAGCGCCATGCCATGCCATGCTGTGCCATGCCATGCCATGCCATGCCATGTCATGCCATACCATGCCATGCTAACTGGAATCTCACACGGGGGAGCGATCCATAGCACCATGCACCACCAAACTGAGAGTTTTTTTAAGAGAATTTCTTAGATGTCCCACACGGGGGAGCGATCCATAGCACCATGCACCACCAAACTGGCATCAGGCATCAAATAGCCTCTCATTCTGGCAGAGCAGGTGCATTGGAGTGGCAGGTGTCAGGTGATGTCCCCACCAACGATGTAGGGCCAGCCATAACATTCCAGCCATTACATGCCATGCCAGCCATCACATGCCAGCCATAACATGCCAGCCATAACATGCCACTTGACATTACTCACTCTGGAGAATGACCCGTTGCACCACGCTTCAAATAACTCGTCTGGCTTCAAACACCCTTCCATGGTTTTGGCTTCTGGCATGCTAACAGCAGTCAGCATTGCTGGTTGTGCAGCGGCAGCAGGAGCGGGAAACTGCATGGGCTTCGCATGAGAGATTGAGTGGTTTGGGTCGGATGAATGCGGTGAGAGAATTGGGCAGCTTTGGTCCGGAATAGCAGTTAGTGGACTGCCAGGGAAGGAATGCAGAGGAGTGGAGTGCGGTGCTGATTCTGACTGCAGCAGAACTCTTTCGATTCTGACCAGCTCTGCCTCGATAAGGAATGATGCGATCGCGTTGTCAGCCGCATCGAGCCAATCAGAAGCACCAGCCAATGCCACGTTAGCACCACTACTAGGATCAGCCACCCCAGGCGGCAGGTCACCAACGGTGGCGGCAGCGCCAGGAACTGCAGCATCATCCCACCAGGAACGGCAGGTCACGTTGACGCATGGGTATTGACGAAGGCTAGCAGAGGTGGGACACGCATTGACTCCGGCAGCACCATCACCAGCACCAGGAACTGCAGCATCATCCCAATTCACGTTGATGCATGGGCATTGAAGAAGGCCAGCAGAGGTGGGGCATGCATTGACTCGGGCAGCAAACGCAGCGTCCCGGTCCGGTATCGGCCGATCCGCTTCACCTTGCAAACTGCTGCAGACGCTCATTCCACCGTTCATACCACCGTTGGCGCTTCTTCCCTGCTGAAGCGCGTGTTGCTGCTGAGGCAGTTCACGTAGCGAGAACGCTTCGATCAGATCCAATTCTTGCAGAGGTGAGAGCCCCAAGAGTGGTCTTTTACCCTCGTTGCTTTCCCGTGCAGAGACATCAGCAGCAGGCTGTTGTGATGCTGGATGGAACATGGGTTCAGATTGTCGAAGCGCCTCAAAAGTGGATGCTGAAAGGCATGCTTGCGATGCGGGATGACAGATATGGTCAGGGAAACGCGACGAGGGAGCAGAAGCCATTGAGGCAGTCACTGTTGCTACTGCTACTGCTGCTGTGCTTGAGATTCCAAGCATCCTCTCCTCTGCTGCTTCACCTTCTGCTTCATCTCTTGCTGATTCCGACGCTTCCTCCTCCTCCCCCTCCACGTTTTCTCTGTTGGTCGCCAAAGCCGCTGCTCCAGGTTGAAAAGCAGGTGTAGCAAAGTCAAACCGCTCTTTCGCAACACTTGTGTAGACATCCTGATGCCTTTCCAAACCTGACTCAAGTAGCAGATCCGCAGCAGTTTTCTCACAGGAATCCTGAGTTGCCTCACAACCAGCTTCAAACAGCTCCTCAGCAACTCCCTCGCATAGATCCCGACGCACCTCGGAACCTGATTCTAGCGAATCCTCAGCAGCTCTCCTGGATGCATCTTCCTGATGTTCAGAGGAAAATGAAGAAGAGCTGAGAGGGTCGCAGTCAGGTCGTTCTCTCGATGTCCTCTGCGTGTTCACCTTCGCCATATCCATTGCCGACTCGGCAATCGGCATCGTCGCATCTGCAGAAATTTCTGAGGTTCCTTCGAGCTGATGCAACTTCAATGGAATTTCAGGCACCTCAAGAATCGCCTCTGCAGCCATTTCAGAGGCTTTTTTGAGCTGACACAACTTCGGCGATTCTTTAGGCGCTCCAAAAATCGCCTCCGCAAACGAGTCTGAGACTCCTGCGAGTTGATTCACCTTGGAAAATTTCCTGCATCATTGTATCAAATGAAACAGTACAGGAAGAAACGGAACATGTCAGAGAGTTGCTGCTGCGCTGTCATATGTGTCGTTTGGCATCATTACATCATCAGCCAGTTCATACAGCCTTGTGCGAGCAGACGCAGCTTCACATTCACCTGCACGCGTTGAATGAGACAGTGGAACATGTCAGAGGGTTGCTGCTGCGATGGCATCATTACATCATCGGCCAGTTCATGCAGCCTCGTGCGAGCTGACGCAGCTTCACGTTCACCTGCACGTGTCGAACGAGAAAGTTGTTAAGGAACCCCAGCCTTGTACGGGAAGAAATGGAACATGTCAGAGGGTTGCTGCCGCATTTTCATTCATCTGTGACGCCGCATTGTCACCATTGCATTGTCAGCCAGGTTCGCAGGTTCGTGCGAGCTGACGCAACTTCGACACTCACCTACCCCTGTCGAATGAAACAGTACGGCAAGAAATCGAACATGTCAGATGATTGATTGCATCTGTGTCGTCACCGTCATTGCTTTTTCAGCCAGGTTCAGAGGGCCTCGTGCGAGCTGATGCAGCTTCGACAACTATCTGCCCTTGGCGAAAGACACAGTCACAGTAAGCGAAGTACAGGAAGAGATAGAACATGTCAGAGGATTTCACGCCGCACTTTCACCTGCGTGTCGTCCCAATCGTTGCATTCTTAACCAGGTTCTCAGTGTGGTAGACCCCACACATTCGCACAGCTCAAACAGCCTCCTGCGCCCATTGACAATCACATTCTCTGAATGAGACACGACAATGCAGTAGAAACGTGTGTCAAGAGTAGTACCTTGTAAGAACGATGAAGCGGTTACAGCACGCCTTGTGGTCTCGTGAGGGAAGCAGACCCACGGACTTGAGAAGCCTCCACTTCTTGGTCCCATGCTTTGCCACGTGGGCCAATAAGATCCTGTCTTCCTGCACACACGTCCGAGCCACGACGCCATCATTTTAGACAACTTCTCACCTTAGATTGAGAACAAAAGTACCACGTTGAAGAATTAGAGTGTTAAAAAAAAAGGGTATAAGATCAGCGTTTCACACAGTGAAGTTAGGGTTCAGTTGAGTGTACGGTACCTCAGGTTTCCACAGTGCTCCAGTCGTGCGCTGCCGGCTCCTCCCTTTAGAGTCAGCACTACCACTGGAGGCACCGATCGTGAATTCGTATCCCGAACTTAACCGAGTCGCGTTAGACCTCATCGTTTTTGCTCCAAAATGAACAGTACAATCGCCAGCCGCCCTCACTCGAGTAATGGAGTCGTGCAGGATTCTCACCACTCTTTCAATGGTTGCTAGGAATCAAGACGTGAGCTCCAGTAAGAGCGACTCGATGATGACGTTTGCGAGGTTAAACGTATTGGGAGACTTCAAGAAGTGGGATGGAACAGCGGAGTCAGCTTGCATCGCAGGCGGTTCGGCTCTCGGGGGTTCTGCCAGCTTGAAAAGTCTGGGGGCCGACTCTTTCTTACTGCTAGGAATGCATATTCCTTGTGGCTCGCGGTGTTTCTCCACGCTGTGAATATATTCGGCTGCGAGGGACCCATGACGATACCCTGAGGCGTTCTGGTGCCGCTCGGCATGACTATGCGATGGAAAAAAACTCTCAAAAAGGCGGCTGCGTTCGTGTTCCCGTGGCGTTCGCACGAGGAGGTTTGGATTGGATCGGGGACAAACAAATCGCTGATAATGAATGACCTCGCGCGATTCCCGGGGGAAAGCCCAAGGGTGTGACGCACGCGACAGCACAGGTAAGCCGAAAATCCCTGGGGATATGACGCGAGTGGCGGGGACTGCTCGACTGGCGGCAAAGTTGGTTCGGCAGAACTCGTTCCTAGCCACTGGCTTGGCATCCTTGATTTCTCCTGTCCCCTCCTCTCCCACCCTCATTTGCCAAAACCCCAAACTTCGATTTCTTCCCTGCTCCACTCTCCGTTCCCCTTGCTGGTCTGTTTCCTTCCGCGCAGTACTGTAGCCGTTGACGAGTGGGGGTGGCGTGGCGAGTGGCGAGCCCACTACAACCTCGAGTAACTTCTCTGTAAAGTACTGTACACTTCAGTATCTGAAGTGAGACTTAAGCTGCTGCTCTGGGCAGTTTACCCTCGGACTAATCCCTAAGAGCGTGTCCGAAGTGAAGCGTCGAATGGATGACGCTGGATGTCGGTAAATGTCAACCCTCGGATTGAAAGTTTCAACCGTCTGGATTTTCCGACATCGGATGTCAACGGATGTCACGTTCACTTAGGACCCGCTCTAACCCTGTTAGGCGGGTGGTTAATCCCGCGTAACAACCACCCGCCTAACAGTGAGACTGCAGGCGCGATAGCAAAGAACAACCTTCGATGTACAATTGATGCCCGACCAGTGCACGCGAATTTGCCATGCACCGGATGGACACGCTGCCCCCGAGGTCGAAACCCCTGCTTGCTGCACCCCATGTACAGGCACATGGATGGCTACCTACAGTGCACGCGGCCCGGCTGACACTCCACGTGCAGTCCACAACAAACAGTGCCGACCCATGTTTCCCTTGTTTCGTGGCCAGGAGTCAAGCAGGCGAAACGACTGGACGAAACGAAAGTGGTTTCGTGAATGCATTCGCCCACCTGCCCCGCCACCTAAGCGAGGATCATGGTGCGTGTAACAGACATCTGGGCTGGTGCACGTTGCCACGTGTATTCCGCACTTGTGGGGTACAAGCCCATTAACAACCAGGCGTTGTTCGCCTACCCCACGTCAGAATTCCAAACGGATGGTAACCCGTGTGCATGATCGAAAATGTAAGACATGTGCATGCAACGAACAACCACCACACGAATCAAACCCCCCACACAGAACGGGCCCCAGCAATGCTCAGCGTCGCCCTCCAACCAAAGTTAAAAACCGCGCAGCAAATTCACTCGAGCATCGTTGTCACCCGCCACGGCCTCCCACCATGCCGCGATTTAATCGCCGTGAGCAGCTTCCGCTGCGCATCAAGCGGGCATTATGCCTCCATCACGTAGAGCACCCCCTCCTTCGTCACGTTGACCTCGCCCGCTGGGTTTACTCCCAGTACGGCTTGCGACCTGACCGCTCCACGGTCGGCCGCATCCTAAAAAATGCCGACCGATGGGCGCTCCATGAAACGACTGGCGCCAACCAAGTGCGCCGACGGGGTGGCGCATGGCCTGAGCTTGAGCAGGCCATGGCGCGCTGGATTGCTAACGCTGGCCCCGCGGGCGTACCACTCACTCTGCAGACGATCCGCGACCACGTGGCGACCATGGCGCGCAACATGGGCATTCCGCCCGTGTTCCGCTGCTCCATTGGCTGGGTGCGCCGTGCGTTGCGGCGCTAGGGGGTGCGATGCCGTGCAGCAGCCGGCGAGGCGGCGAGCGCCGACATGGCTGCTGTGCGTGAAGCCCGTGAGAAGGTGCTGCAGCTTCTCACTCACCTTGGCTACCGCCCGCGCGACACATTCAATCTGGACGAGACCGCGCTGTGGCTCTCGGTGCTGCCTCGGAAGACGTACAGCAACGCCCGCATTCCCGGACGCAAGGTCTCAAAGGATCGCCTGACCGTGGCGTTCCTCGTTAACGCCGACGGGAGTCACGTGTTCCGGCCGTTGGTCATCAGCAAGGCGCGCCGTCCTCACGACTTCCGCCCGGATTACGACCCTGAAGCCGTCTGCTACTGGCGGCACAACGCTAAGGGGTGGATGACCTCCCCGGTAAGTGATTGTGCGCGTGTGGTTTAAAATGTGCAAGTGTTCAGATAACAATATTTTAACATTAAAAGAACCCGGTTCGTAAGATTGTTTCTCATGGCGTGCCCCCCCCCCTCCCTCCAAACCCCCGTCAACAGTTGTTCACACACTTTATGTCGCAGCTCAATGCTGCGATGTATGCCGAAGGGCGGCACGTCGCGGTGCTGCTCGACAATGCAAGCTCGCACATGCTGCGGGACGAGACCGCGTGGAGCGAAATCGTGTGCGGCATGAGGACGACCTGCCTGAGCAACGTGCGTCTCATCTTCCTGCCGCCGAACACTACCGCCTTCACGCAGCCCCTTGACCAGGGCATAATCGCCACTACGAAGGCCCGCTACCGCCAGCACTGGCTGCGGGCTTTCACGGCTTTGTGGAACGACGACGGCGCCACAAGCGCCGTCGCCCGCTATCGCCCCAATCTGCGCGACGTGCTGGGGTGGCTCTCCGACGCCTGCATCTCCATTTTCCAGCGTCCCAAAGTTGTCCCCAAGAGTCCGAACGGACTCTTTCTGGACGGATTCCGGACGTGCAGAAAAAGAGACTTTTTGGACCAAGGCCTGCTACATTCCGGAGTCTGTTTTAGGTCCGACCAAAGAGTCCGCGAAGAGTCCATTTGGACAATACGAAAAGCGAAGGCAATATGTGTACATCACGTACCCGATATACTAAGATGCGTTTTACCAATAAAATTTATACCCAACCATTGTTTACATGATTTTTAATAAAGAACATGCAAAGGCATTTCTACTTATACAAACTGCTAGAAACTAAATAATGCATTGCCAGATAAATATACGAACCCCCATTAGTTAATGCTTAAAAGAAAAATAACCTGCACGGATTGAAGAACAATATTGAATGAGCCACAAGGTCCATTCCAAAAAATAATAACTACAAAATTGCTTATACTAAAACGTACAAACCGTGGTGACTGATGACACATTGTCCAACAAGGTTGAAAATAGTCACCAGAAACGATTGAAACAAACATCTCCATTTACACGGTGATTAATACATCTCTGAATACAAGAAAAACCAATAAGTACAAGACACACTGGCTATATCAACAAATCATTAAGCAAATTGAGCACCACCTTTGATGGGGCCTCTTACCAGCAACAGGGTAAGCAGCACCCGTCACGACCCTTTGCAGCGTCCTGACAAAGCAGCGCCCGACGCGTACCTTAGTGATAGAGAACTAAATGGCGGCTGTGAAATATTAAACAAAACCTTCAGATTGCGAGCACTTTCAAAGGGGAGGAAACAAACAAAACCGCGAAATCAACGTGAAGCTTGTATGTACGTATAAGTCGGTAACCACAAAAAATGCCAACATTGAATCAAACAAACCGACCTGCGTGATGACACATTCACCCTCTATGAAGGAAATCTTCACCAAATGCAACTGAAACAAACATCAGAAGGTAAGCGATGATTAGCAACCGTTAACACACAGGTTCATATTGAATTAAACAATGTAATTACCGCTCTTCATCGCGCCTCTAAGCAGCAGCCGCATTAGCAGCGCCCGTCGAGCACTTAGTTGCACCCATCTCGTCTCTTAGCAGCACCCGCCGTAGCAGCGTCAGTCTCGCTCCTTAGCAGCGCCCATCGCGCTCCTTAGCAGTGCCCGTAGCGCTCCTTAGCAGCGCCCGAAGTTGAATAACTTGTTACGTAAAAAGAAGACCGTCAAATGCTGCACTGGGGATAGATAGATATTGGAAATAGGAGCGGTATAAGTAAACGACGTCATGGAATGCGTTATTCTGGTTGTATGAATGAATAAAAAACGTAGGACCGCGCACATCTCAGCAAGCGATGAACACCATGACATTGTTGCATAGAAAAGCAGAAACTGGATTTATAAACCTAAATGTATAACATCCGCAAAGCTAGATTGGTTCTACAAAAGTCGTAGTGCTAGGCTAACCAAAACAGATCGTGCGAACAAATGTTGGGCAAGAAATGCTCGAGTGAAAAGCTCAGTTTAAAAAATGGAGCATCTAGATCTGAAAGGGATGGACAAGTCGAGAGTGGTTGGGGGATGAGTTTGGTAAGGTGTGTAGGTAGCTGTGGCTAATGTTTTCCGAGCCTAACCTGCACAGGAAGGCGTTTGTGTGGCAGGTGGTGTGACAGGTGGCAACCCTGGCAACAGGTGTCAACATGTTGCGAAGGAGTTTTTGATTGGATTTTGAGTTTAATTGAACCAACTTGCTTGGTTTACAACCGAGTTAGCGTAGTGGTTACGAATCGCGCGTGCGATTGGGAGATCGCGAGATCGATTCTAGCTAGTAAAAAGCAACTTATAATTGGGAGTGTTCGTTTTCTTTCCTAATCTAACAATTTTGTGTTCGGTATAGTGCACCAGGCAAGCATCGATCCCCGACCTTCTGCATAGTAACATGAATCGGAGACTTCTTGGACAGATTCCGGATACTTCGCGTTTTGGCTAATTTTCGGACATTTTTAGACCCTTCAATTTTGGGTGAAGACTCTTTTTGGACACTTTTGGGGGGTCAAATGACACAATGTGGACCACCTAGCTGGCCGGCTGCATTTCGGGCCGACACTTTTTGGATCCAGTGGATGAGTGTCGGTGCGCGCACCATCCAGAGGTGCTGGTGGCGCACGGGCTGCCTGCCTCTGTCGTGGTCCATGGAGCTCACCCATGTGCATGACGACGAGCCGACCCCGCATGCATACCCCGACATCGAGCTCGATGATGATATCGACGACGTCGGCGACCTCATAAGCTCCCTCGGCCTCGGCAACGGCGCGATGACCGCCGCCGAATACGTCGCCATCGACGAGGGCGAGCCAACGTGCGCGGAGCCGGCTGTGGAGCCGACTGCTGATGATGCGGAAGCGGGCCTGGTGGCGGAGCTATGGAGGGCGCCGACCACGATGCAGGCGGTGTATGACGATTCAGACCCCGTGGGCCGTGAAGCGCGGCGCACAGCACGGGCGGCCTGCGAGATGCTCATCGGCTACGCTCGCGCCGTGAGCGTGACCCCGCGCGACCTTTGCCACCTGTTCGACATTCGTAATCCTATCATCATCGAGCGCATGGAGCGGGCAAGCCCTGCGCTTAATCTCAACACGGCCCCGCCGCCAGTGCTTTCGCCTGGCGCAACTCCGCCGCCAAGCACTCCTCGTCCGCGGGGCCGAGTGCTGCCTGGCTGGATGACCCAGCCGTCCCGCCGTCAGCAGCTTCTGGACGGCGGGGTTGGCGCCGCGATGGGCGGGTACGTAGAGGCGGCAGAATGGATGCGCCTCTGTGTTGTTTTTTGTGGATTTGTGTTCAGGCGTCGAAGGCATTGTTGAAGTGTTGGGATTGTGCATATAACGGATACATTTGCAGTAGAGGGGACGATGTTGAGCTTGGGGGTGTGGGGCCATGTGGTAGATTGTGATTGGCCCGGCTTTGTGTGTCAGCTGTTTCAATCTAAGTTGAACAATTGTTGATGTTGCTTTGTGGTTTGGTATTGCTTTCGTGAGGAGTTCAGTAACGCGCATTTGGGACAATTGGTGCCACCCATCACTGTTACAGAACGGACGAATTGAGTGGTAACCATGTGCACGTTAAATGCACGCGCAAAGCGTGACGAAACCACCGAACAACCGACGAAATGACGGTTTAGTTTACAGCCCCCCTTCACAAGGCAACCGGGAGAGGCTCTAACGAGCATTAGCTGTACCCTACAGAAAAGCTCCTTCAGCAATGCGGGGTTCGTTTCGACGGGAAGTTTTCAAGCATGCGGCTAGGCAAGTGAAGCGGACTGTCAACTAGACGACGTCATGCTGCCGTACTTTCGAAAATACACCTGTCCCGCGCCAATTTCAATTCCCGGCAATTTTAACACCTTTTGTCTCGACATGGGTCCTGGGCCCGGCGCGATTCGGCCTCACAACCTCTCGAAAAAGCTCAGAACCAATAAAAAACCTTTATCACGGTATTGAGCATTACGAAACCGAGTGAAACCGCGCTGACTATCGAAACTTCTCTGTTCCCTCCAATTTCAACCAGCCCAAAAACGACAAACAGTAACTCCCGCAGCGCGGGTGTTGAAATTGCCGAGGGAGAGGTGTAGGAGTGGTGGGGTTTCAAGTGCATACGCCACGCAACAGACCTAACCTCTGGCGGGAAAAGAGGTGACTGGTTCCTGCTGCCACCATGCATTGCTGGCACGATTCCACCGCCTTTGCCGTAATAACCACCCGCTTGTCTTATGGGACAGGAAAGCACGGCAAACTTCAACAACACCTTGCTGACGCCATGGTTCGATTCGAACATCCGTGACAATTGTCGGAGAGATGCAACAGACAAATGGCGGACGAGCCAGCAAAGCCTGAACCAGGAAACCTTGCCAAAGAGTGCAGCGCTCCAGGCTTGGAAAATCTGGAAGATTACGAAACGGACACGACAACCAAACAAGGTTGTTTGGCATTGAGCCCATAGGCTCGGTCTGCTCCGTCAAGGTTGTCCCCATATTAAGGCCTACTTTGGCATGGAACAAACTGTAGATGTACAAAGGGATCATTATACGGTATGATGAATGGTGCAAAGGAGTTTTCGAGATTCCTTACCGCGCACCACAGCAACGGGTATAACGCTCAACCGTTTCTTCGCCCTTTACAGCCAGTGTTCAACCCATCCCTCTGTATTTGCCCGTGTCTGCAGTGCGCATGTGATAGGTAACATGGCATGCAACCCCTGCAAGTGCTTACTCAGTTTCCTCCCCTTGAATTGACTTTCTAAATCTCTCTCTCACACCATGGTGCTCCCCAACCTATTGCTTTTTGTACATGCATTGCGCATGTGATTGTCAACATGACCTGCAACCCCTGCAAGTGCCTCTTCGGTTTCTTCTTCTGCCGAGGTTGACCTCCGCAGTGGTTGTTTGTCTGTCGCCTCCAATTTAGGGCTGTTTGTATGATTTCTTTTCATGCCACCGGTTCAAGAAACTGGGTGTAAGTGATGCCCACGATTTAGGATAGTCACGAGTTTTGGGGGTGATTTCTGACACGGGGGGGTTCGGTTTGGTGAGCTGGGCTTTGTCCTGAGCCGCAATTTATTGGAAGGACTTTTATTGAAGGCAGCTCAGCTCTGCACAGCGGAGAAACCTTTCTCAAAAACTGAACATAGATATTGGTTACCACCCATCTAACTGTACATGGAAGCCATGAAGTCAATGTAGAACATGAAATCCCAATTTAGAAACCATGAAGCACCTGCCACGCAAATGAAATCCGAATGAAACATGTTAGCTGAACCGTGTAACAATAACCATGCCATGTAGATCACCACAGACAAATTGTATCTCAACGTAAACATTTTTATCTGGATAGCACATATCAACCAGTGCCATACCATACCATGCCATTTGCATTACCTGTGATGAAGCAAGGACGAGAGTGCAACAAGAAGCTCTGAGAGCCCTGAGAAGCCGGTTGCACCACACCACTCATCACAGAGCTTCTGAGGCCATAGCCAGTCATCCCATACCGTTCCCACGCCATTCCCATGCCATTCCCATGCCATTCCCATGCCATTCATAGCTTCTGGGGCGCCTCAAAAACCATCACAAGCTAGCCATAGCATGCCAGCCATCCCATGCGATTCACACTACTCACTCTAGAAAAATACCCGATGCACCACGCTTCAAATAGCTCGTCTGGCTTCAAACACCCGTCCATGCTCACAGCCTCACTGCCCCTTGGTCCTGAGAGAGAGACATGCTTCAGAGGATACTTGGCAGCAGCAGCAGCCGGAGCAGCAGAAGCAGGAGGAGCGGCGGCAGCAACAGCAGGCGGAGGGCGAGGAGCAGCAACAGCAACAGGAGGCACGGCAAGGGGGTTTGCTGGTATCATGCCTACTCCCCCTCTTCTCCAACCACTGCCTTCATATACTGCAGCAACACAAGGAGGCAGTGGTGGGAGAAGAGAGGGGGTAGACATGCTACCAGCAGATGGCACTGCTTGTTGTGCACTGGCAGTACAAGGGGCAAATTGCAAGGGGTTCCCATGGAATCTGGAGTGGTTTGGATGGGTTGACAGGATTGATTGGGATATGAGCTTTCCAGAGCCTTGGTCCTGAATAGCTGTTAGTGAACTGCGAGGTGAGGAAGGCAGAGGAGTGGAGTGCGGTGTTGATTCTGCTGTCTGCAGCAGAGCCTTATTTATTCTTATCAGCTCTGCCTGGATAAGGAATGATGCGATAGCGTTATCAGCCACAGCGAGCCAATCAGAACCATCAGTTGATGCCACGTGGGTAGAGCCAGGATCAACCACTCCAGGAGGTAAACCAGGAGTTACACCAGGAGGCAGAGGCACACCATCGGCGGCACTAGCGACAGCAAAGGCAGCACCGGCAGCAGCAGGAAGAAGCGGATCAACCAAAGGAGAAAAAACTGCAGCGTCATCCCAATTCATACGTTGTGCGCGGTTTTCTCTTTGCGACTGGACAGGCGGAGGACACGCTACGGAGGGAGGAGGACAAGGAGGAGGAGCCTGACCAAGGACCTGTTGAAGAAGTGGTACGAAGTACGGTCGCGGCCGCGCAGCGTCTCCAGAACCAGCAGCGACACCAGCGGCAGGGTCCTCAGCACCAGCAGCAGCTCCACCGTCCAGGTCCTCAGCACCAGCAGCAGCTCGACCGCTCGGGTCCTCAGCACCAGCAGCAGCTCCACCGTCCGGGTCCTCAGCTCCAGCAGTAGCTCCAACGCCCGGGTCCTCAGCACCAGCAGCAGCTCGACCGCTCGGGTCCTCAGCACCAGCAGCAGCTCCACCGTCCGGGTCCTCAGCTCCAGCAGTAGCTCCAACGCCCGGGTCCTCAGCACCAGCAGCAGCTCGACCGCTCGGGTCCTCAGCACCAGCAGCAGCTCCACCGTCCGGGTCCTCAGCTCCAGCAGTAGCTCCAACTCCCGGGTCCTCAGCACCAGCAGCAGCGCCACCGCTGGGGTCCGCAGCACCAGGAGCACCACTCCGAAGACTGCAGCGCCGCGCGTACCACTCTCGGATCTGCTGAATGGGGGGGAGCTCCTGGGTAGGAGGGGAAGTACTGGTACGAGCTCCAGTAGCACCTCTCCGGAGGCGGCAGTACTGTAGGTACCTCTCCTGCAGCTGCTGGGAGGAGAGGGCTCCTCCAGGTGTAGCACGCTCAGGATCAGCACCTCCAGACACAGCACCCCCAGACGTAGCACCCCCAGGCTCAGCACCTCGAGACTCCGCACCCCCAGGCTCCGCACCCCCAGACTCAGCACGGTCAGGCTCAGCACCCCCAGGCTCAGCACCTCCAGACGCAGCACCCCCAGACGCAGCACCTCCAGACTCCGCACTCCCAGGCTCAGCACCTCCAGGCTCCGCACCCCCAGGCTCCGCACCCCCAGACTCCTCACGGGCAGGCTCAGTACCCCCAGCAGGACGAGAGTCAACAGCTACCTCGACAGGCTCAACCGGGTCTACCTGGGACACACCTGAGGGAGCGGCACCCTGAGGGGGGAGGGGGTCTGGTACCTCAGCACCTGGAGCGAGGAAGAGAGGCGGGGGGGGGAGCGGGGCAGTGCGGTAGGGGAAGAGGCGGTAGTAGGGGACGGACTCGTCAAAAGTGACGTCCTGAGAGGCAAGGACACGACGCGAGGTGGCGTGGTAGAACTGCCAACCAGGCGCGTCCGGGACAAAGCCAAGGAAGACACAGGGGACAGCGCGACGGGAGAGCTTGTCCGCGGACGTGTCGCGAACAAAAGCTCGAGATCCCCAGACCCGAAAACGCGACGCATCGCCAGCCTCTCCCGTCCAACGCAGTGTCGGAGAAGTCTCCGGTAAGGAGACACGGGGCCAGAGGTTGAGCTGATGCGCAGCGTATCGGACTGCAAACGGCCACAGAAAGTGGGGGGCAGCCGCATGAACCAAGGAGGTACGAGCGACCTCCATGACCAAGCCAATGCGGCGCTCAGCAACTCCATTCTGCTGTGGAGAGGCCGGAAGTGTGAACGACTGCTCAATGCCCTCCTGCTGACAGAAGGCCTCCAAGAGGCCAGAGGAAAACTCCCCACCTCTGTCAGAGTGCAGACGCAGGACAGGGAAGTCGGAGCGGAAACGCTCACTGAGCTGGAGACGAGATCTGCGGATCCAAGGGATCAAGACATCAGGGACGTCACCCTTGGCGCGCAAGGGGAAGACCGTGGTGTAGCGCGAGAAGTCGTCAACAACAATCAGGAAGTACCTCTCCTGACCCTGACCACGGACGCGGGCTGGGCCCCACACGTCCATGTGGAGCGTCTGCAAAGGAGCAGTCGTCGGGGGGAAGGAGGAGGAGTGAGGAG